AACAAATATCCACGAAATTGAAAATAAAATTTCCGGAAAGACAAGTTTATCGTAGGTAAACAATAATAACAAAAAAAAATTCGATAAATAATGAAATCTCACTATAAGGAATTCGATTCACATATTATCAAGTTTATCTCGATAGAATTTCCATAACTTGTTACGTCAATACAAATTTTTGTCAATAGATACGATAAATTGCACGTGTTTCGATTAATTTTACACCTTATCAATTTCTTACATGATCTTTTTCTTATTCTTTGTTTTGCAGCGATAAAGAAATATCTCACGGCAGAAAGAAAGATGTTTTTCTTCGGCATATCGCTGAAGCTTGCGCGTCATTATACGTTACAGTCGAACAAGATCATCCGTTGCATGCCTCTGCTAATTTTAACCACCTTGTGCATAGATATCCGGTTTACTTCTAGCACAAACAATCCCGCGCGTTTATCGTCGCATGACAGACGCGTAAATAATACAAGCGACGTGATTTATATTAAATTACACAACAAATATCAGCAAAAACAATTGACGACGAATTGCAAATATAATGTTGCAAAATACAAAATACTATCGCCAAATTTCATTTAAACAGGTAACATAACAATAGATTTTTTTCTGTAGTGTTATTTCCTTTAATATAAGAATTTTGATATAAGAACTTATTTTGAAATGTAAAATGAATAATTATAAACGTGTATTATAATCGGAATAAGATTGATATCAAAAGTATGCTTTACGTAGTGCATGTTGTTTTAATAATTGTGAAGTATTATATCACGTACGCGAAATGAACGCGAAATGAATTCTAGTAATCCTTAGAAAAAATTAATACTGCAGGTCTTAAATTAATTTGCGATAAATTACTTGTTTTAACAACAGTGTTTTTAATACTTAAAATAAGTAATTAATATTACTAACCATTTTAATACTCGCAGTATTAAATTTTTCAAAAGGAATTACATATATTGGTTGTGCACTCTAGTTAAATAATTCGCTGAACGTGAACGTATATGAAGAAAAAATTGGCTGGCTTTTAAGATAATGTATCTAGTAATGAAACCTTCGATACACATTATTGGTTTACTGATAAGATTATATTTATTCTGGAAATTGAAAAGGGGGGGAAGAGGATAGTGGTACCGAGAATAGCACGCGGGTTTTTACGGATGATACATTCAGCCATCTATGGATTATATCCTTTGGGATTCTCCGTTGAGAGACGCATTTTTCTGATGACGCATACGCGCGGCACTAGTTCATTCTACCATTCATATAACGACTTTCGGACGAGGGAGGAGAAACTATTCGAGAGACGCGATGGTCTCTTGCGCAACGATCCTTTGTCTTCCCACGCGCCGAGAGGACGAGCTTCGCGGGCAAAATTCATTGTGCGACGACTATGACTGTAAAGGTCCAGGCATCTACAATAAGAATAATAAGTCGTAAGCTGTAAAAAATTGACCAATCACAGTTGATTATTCTTCTCTGCATATTCGACTATAATTGGTCAGTTTCTTACGATTTACTACTCTCATTATAGACGGACCTCAAAGTGTCGTCTACAATGAGACTTAAGATATAAGAAAATTGATCAATCACGTTCGATTATTCATCTCGCGTAAAAAGAACAATCGAGTGTGATTAGTCAATTTTCTTAAATCTTAAGTCCTAAGTCTCATTACAGACGCCGCTTAAGCTGGTTCTACAATGCATTAGTTGCATCGCAGCGTCGCAAACATTGTGATCCAGTAGAGATCCAACCAACGTTAGACTAGCTCGACGCTGATTCGATCACAACTGGATCGCAACGTTTGCGACGGTGCGATGCAATTAATGTAGAACCAGCTTAAAGAGAAGGCGAGGGGAAACTTTGCGAGTTGTAAGAAACGACGATTGTGGTCACAGCCACAGCAAACTGAGAAATTGTAGAAGAAGGAGCAATAATCGCGCGCTCGACTGTCGTCGTCACGTCTTCGCAGAAGTAGTTATATATCGGATAAAAATATCCACTAAGGCACATTATGTCATCGGTTAATTAAACTAATTATACTCGCTAAGAAAAAAAAAATATTTGTATTTTCTGAATCGAAGTATGTTCTTCGCGAAAAGCAAAGAGGTGTTTCGAAATTTTTCCAGTTTTTACACGCAGCCTTAAAGCGGCGTCTACAATAAGACTTAAGACTTAAGATTTACGAAACTTTGACCAATCACAATTGATTATTCTTTTCACGTAAGACGAATAATCGACTATAATTGACCAATTTTCTTAAATCTTAAGTCTAAAGTCTCATTGTGGATGCCGCATAAAGTCACTGATAATTGGGAAGATAAGAAGGATGATTCACGATAATTGCATATTACTCCTTCTTCTAAACATTCCAGTACGTGATCCCTCTTTTCCACATTCAATTTCGAAACGCCGCCCGCTCGCACGAAATTTTATCTTCGCCGTTTTGTGTTACATCGCGGACTTTTAAAAGTCAAAAGGATGAAAGATAACGAGATAAACATCGGTATAAACCATCCTGCGCGCGATGCAACGCGGTTGATTGCGATAACGGGGGATGCTGCGATTGGATGAACTTTATCGATCGCGAGAGCGCAGCGCACACAATATGTCAATAAACGATCGTTAATGAATAAAGCGTATAAAAGATACGCTTCCGCGCACAATGGAGCCGCGCTCCGGGCGATGATTTCTTTCTCAAATCAAGTGTGCTGTTTACCGTGATCTGCTTCTTCGCAACAAAGTTGTTTCCTCACATCGTATAATTAATCGTCCGTAATCGAGTCCCACGGAATCCGACATTCGGCGATCGGGAGAAAACAATGCAGGTGAAAACAGATGCACGGCGGGGACAAGGTGGGTGTGTGTGTGACATATTATATGACTCTTGTACTTGGCAGCCTTGGCTTTTTCGTTATCGCCGTATGAGTCAGTCGCGCAGGTGATGTGTATTTATATACGTGACAATGTACACACGTATACGCGTGTACATTGTCATATACATATATAAATACTAAACTAACCCGGCATATTAATACGTGCATCTCTCGCTCGAACGCCAATCTAATGTCGCTCCGTTTATAAATGCGCATTTCACGCGCCTGAGAATTCAGGGATATCGGCCAGAAAATATCGTTAGAGAGGACGTCAAATATTATTAATATCGGAATCGATTTCAATTAAAAGAAACTAAGAGCTCTTGCAGCCACGTTTTCGCAAAGCTCTTATTTAACAAGAATTTAAGATACTGTATACAGGGAATATAGATAATTATTGAAAAGTCGAAGAATTTCGGAGAATCCTATCTTTTTTGCAAGAAGTGTAATATTAATCTAAAAAAGAAATCGAAACAGTCAATAATGTGACATGTTCTATATACGTATGCTTAGTCATTCATCGGAATTAATTGAACGACGGAGCTGGGCAAATCACGCAAGCGTTCTGGTATTTAATGAATTAACTTTTACACAATCAATAAAGCAGAGAATTGGATTAAATGTTAGAAATTAAGAACTGCGTTGCACACACAAATATTTGTACACGGAAAGAACGATCTTGCTGAAGGATCTAAAATTTAACTGGATACGAAAATAATCTTATTGGAACCATTAAATTAAGTATATTGGAAATTCTACATGAGCAATGCTGCAGAAAATTTTGATTTTCTCTACTCGGCTAGATTTGTAAGTAAAACAAAACCGTTCTTTCCATGTAGAATCTAATCTTTAACACTAGAAGTACCAAGTCAAGAGCGATAATAGAATTCTACTTTTTTTTTCCGTTAATATTACTCTTCTTGTATGAAAGATAAGATTCTGATAAATGATTTGTTGTCACATCACATTCTTTATTTTCGTAACAATTTATTCGATCGATTCTTTCCAAGTAAGAAATGTTGGTGTTTCTATAGCGTTAATTTAATTCTCCTTCACACACGTTCAGAATTTCAGCGCGGCCTCGCCGTTGTTTATCCATCGACCGCGGAATCTTATCTGCTCCAGAGGCGGAGGAAGTATTTAAAAGCAGAAAAAGAAACATGCGATGCTGCTCTTAATAAGAAACGAGAGAAAATTACAGCGGTCACGCAAGCGATCGCGGGCAGGACGCGGTCTGCACGTTTCAAGGACGAGAGCGAGCGAGCGAGCGCGCGCTCGCGAGCGAGGTTGAGTAATCCGCCGAGCATCGCCGGCGAATTCGCGGAACCGAGCCGGCAAGTGAATTCCGCGAAGAGCCCGCTATTTCCGACTCCGTTGGCTCCAAGAGCGCGATTTACGCTATTTAATTACACCGCGCGCGGGGAAACGAAGAATAACACAAACACGAGGACGGCGGAGCAAAACAAACGATTTGCATGCAAAGACGAGTGCGCGAGGTGTATTATAAGCCCGCGGCTTTGGAAACGTACTCCGGGGAAAAACAAAGAAAAGGAAAAAAAAATTCATCCCGATCGAATCGCGCGATCTCGATCGGCGAAACAATGCCGAAGGCGAGGACGCGCGAGGACCGGTTTCGCGGCGTCCACGCGGCGGAAAAACATTCCGTTGGCTCCCCCGACTCGCGGCGGCCCCTGTCGACTCGAAGGGACCGCGGTGAACTTGGGCGGCTTGATCCAAGCGAGTGTTGGTCATCGCGATCGAAGCCGACCGGCCGACTTCGCGGCGTCAAACGGCGCGGCTCCTTGGCGTCGGACAGGAGCGGCTTGCGGAGGTGAGGGAGGGGGGGGGGAGAGGACACTCGAGCGGCCCGAGGCCGCTTATAGCCACGAACGCGGCTCGCCTTTATTTTCAGCTCGCGATAAGCGATACGCGGTGGAGAGTTTCGTAAAACCTGCGGGCCTCTAACAAGGCGGGACCACGTATAGGCTTTTAAGGCGTTGAAACGCAAAAGGAGAATTAAATACGCGCCACACACAAACACGTCCACACGGCGGACGCTGTGGCGCCATTATCGCGCGGGTCTTTGGGAGGGGGGGCCATACAGTTTTACTTACCACAAAGATGAAATTAAATATGAAGAGCAGGTATTTGACAACTCCCATTCCGCACCCCATCTTGACGTCGGTCGGTCTCTTGCGATACGATGAGCCGCGACAAAAACTGCTCTGAACGAGGACACGCACGTGACGCCACCGACTGCGCGATCAACGACTTCTTCACCGTTTAACCGTCCGACTTCAACTGCATCCAACTGAGTCAACTGACTCTCGCGACGCGACTGAAATTCCATTCAAGCGACGCTCCGCGCGGCGCCACCAGGACGGCGGCGCGCGAGTCCGCCCGAAGTTGGCCGAAGGACGGCGGCGCTCACGGCGGTAAGAGAGTGACGCACTTCAGATTACCTCGAGATATGAAGAAGCGTGCGTATATACGTGTTGTACGTTCAGCGAATATTTTACTCCGCTCGCCGTATCTTTCTTTTTACCTTCAATGCTCCATAACGTTACTTTTCAAACCGGAAAATCGAGTTGAAATAATAAAATTGAGATTTTTTCGCGTCATACGCTCCGCAATATATTTGAGATATAATAATATTGATTCGACAGATCGTATTATAATGATTTATATGTGCGTCGCATTTTGAATATTTATTAATTTTTATCTCGGTTTATTTTGCTCTTTATCTCTTTTTTGCAATTCGTAGAACGGAGGAAGTAAATTAAACTGAGATTAAAGTTAATCTACATAATTCGTATGAAATGGACAAAAGCGAGCGATTTCGCGCGACGAATTTAACATTGATTAATTTGATTGGCGATTAGATAATTCAATCAGCAGAGAGAAAGAATTACTTAAATTTTTAGTTATAATGTAATAAAATTTTGATAATATACATAAAATTATTTATTATTATTTTTATCATGAAACATTATTTAAAAATTAAACTGGAATATTTAACTGATAATTAATATTTTTTTTAGTAAAGCTGTACTGCCAATCTAATCTGTTAATCTTATCTGTCTGTGTCGAAATAAGTATATGTCATTCTAAAATCAAAGATAGTATGTAATCTAATAAAAGATTTGATTATCGAAGAGTTTCGAAAATTGATTTTTTTAACAGGTATAACAAAATTCTTATTAAATTTGTAATTATAGGAAAACGAGATTTATAGCTACTTGAATACATTTCAGAACATTCGCCGTCTGAAAGACTGGAATAGAAAAAAGGAAATTCAATGTAGATAGGAATAATACCTTTACAAACGACTTGTAAAGGCAGATAAATTGGATTATCCAAACGTATGACGTGACTGAAACTCAGTCATCCGAATGCATGATGTCACTTCGAAGATACGCGCTTAGGTTTTCGTCTCGCCTGGGCGATGAAATGACTGGAACGCGAAACATTTTAGATAAAATTTATCAGAAATTTGTTTAAATGTACTAAGAATATTATCTTTCGAAATAATGGTTGTATTTGAGAAATTATTACTCTGTAGAATGAAATATCCTTTACCACGTCTTGAGTTTTTATCATTTTCAGTTTTCATTATTTTTAATATGAATCACATTCGCATTAAAGGAGGAAAAGATATTGATGAGCAATAATCGGACGAAAACACAATTATTTAAACATTCTTTGATTCCGTAAAAAGATTACGCTTCCACAAAAATCGTACACACAATCATGCTTCTCTTTTGCAAAAAATAATTTTCATTCGCTCGGTGTCGGTCTCGTAATTTTTAGAAAATTACAAGAGATTTGCGTGTGACATTGCGATACACGATGAAAGAGGGATTTGGACGGAAAAAAAAAACCAGTGAAAAATATAGGCATAAATTAAAAGATGGGATAAAAATAATACGAAAGCCTGCATTCGCGATTGTTACGTCTGTCGCTTACTTCGACTCGTCCGATTACAGATGACTCTAGATTAAATAGTGGACACGACGTTCCACTATTTAATCTAGAGTCACCGAAGCGTTTCTGGATAATGCAAGATATGACACACTCATCTCATACCGGGTGTCTATTCTACTATTGCTAGTGTCGTCGGTGGATTGAAGCATTGCACTGTGCACTTGACCGTCTATACTTATTGAACTATCGAACTAAAAGATATATGTTAAGTACACAATAACTATAAATTGACTAAAAGCTTCAAAAATGTCAAAAGAAAAAACACACGGACTTTGATATGTTTGCTACGATAACAAAGCGATATTTCTTTTAACTAAATTATAACTCCCTCGGCGCGTTGCTAGGAACATAAATAAAAATCTAATTAAGGTAGAAATGTCATCGTAAGTAAGAATCACCTATTTACTTGTTGCCATTAATCAGTGCAAGTGTGATGTTGTAAAAAAATTGTTGCATAATTTATCTCATTGGATGGCTAGACACAGCTCCGTGACATTCGTCAAATATGATTAAGTTTACACTATTTAACTTCATATATCCATGCGCACAAGCAGATTCAGGAAGATTTGTGACGTTATTACAAAGACTTGATGTGATATTGTTGCTGATATTATTGCTTCCTGAATTTGCCTGAGTTCTCCGTATAACAATCGTGCTACTCACGATAAAAGTCCTATTCTGTAAGAGCGATTGTCGTCGAGTCAACCATTCTTGTTGCTCCCAAAAATCCACCTTCGTATCTCCACTTTACTTAGCTTACAATTAGTGCCTTCTTGTGTATGTTGTTTGTTGAATATAGTTATGTATAATTAATACATAATATAATTAATATATAGTGCATATATATAGTAGTATAGTACATTCCAAAATAAATTCATGCCGGAAAACGAGACGTTTACACCGAGAACACAATAGATCTCTATGAAAAGGCAGTGTGAGAGAACGTGATACTTTATTTGTCAACATGAGCGGGCAAATCGTGCATAGTTGTGCTTCTGAAACATTTGAGTCGTTATCTATACAAGCACCTTATGAAGAAGGTGGAAAACGTAGTACAAAATATACGACGTTTTCCACTTTTCTTCACAAGGCTTTTGTAGATTACGATTCAAATGCTTCAGAAGCACAACTATGCATGATTTGCCCGCGTTTATTGGCAAATAAAGTATCACGTTATCTCGCGCTGCCTTTTCATAGAAATCTATGCTCTCGGTGTAAACGTCTCGTTTTCCGGCGTAAATTTCAGCCATCGTATTGTATCAATTACGATCAATCGCTGGTCTTACAGAATAGAACTTTTATCGTGCGATGCACGATTGTTACACGGGAAGCTCGATAACGATAAACTCAGGAAGCAATTAACAGTAACGACATCACACTCGCACTGATTAATGGCAATTGTTTTACTCGTGAAATGGCAGTAGGATGCAAACTGTTTAGGCATCTTTCAGAATATTGTCTTTTCTTTATACAGGGCATCCAAGCGAGAGTAAAAAATACTTTAGAGATAGATTTCTCATGATCGAATTTCTCAGATTCAAGGAAATTCTACATTCTTTCCTTGAATCTGATTGAAAAAAAAAAGGAAAGAAAATAAGATAAATGATATTTCTTTGAGAAGTTATCTCATTGTAAATATACGGAAAATTTGTTCTTCTTAATCAATTCTCTCAAAAAATAATTAAGAGATTTACTTGCGAAGCAATTCGATGTTAAAAGTCGGCAAACTGCGGTTTCCAGAGTAAGAAGAAAAATCGGCGCAGGTATCTGTCGAAGAATCCGTCGCCGAAGGATCTCTCGATCGGTCTGGGACACCCTGTATAACGGGAACAACGTCAACATCACTAGCGCATCTGTACACCGTTGATATTGTCACCACGCGAAATGTATTTCGCATATCACAATGACGCAACGTCCCCGAGTGACACACATCTCTGTCCTTCGCGGTGTGCAGCATTGGCTAAGGGTCGTCAGAATTGTGCAAATATCTCGACTGACGTATCAGCAGCTTGTTCTTGGTATCCGCTTCGGGCATATCTTGCAGAGACGTGCGCGCGGCCATCTGCGACGCCCGCCTTTCCATCCTGTCTTTGAAGATCCTGACGTAACAAGTCGTGCACGCTATGAAGGAAATCTGAAATCACCAATCGCGATCGCCAGTCGATTAGTTGACCGATCCGCGAAATTCCGCGTGAACGGGAGGACGAATCCAGACGCACCTGCAGCAGCACGGAGCACAACGCGAGCAGAAAAACGTGAAGGAGGATCGATCTCGTTCGACTTAACACCACGTGCTGACACCCTCGTTTGTACATAACGGTGCAAGCACCGGCGGTGCTGTCGTTGTCGGTCTCCTGATTCGTTGTGTTGCAGCAGGACCAGGGAATCTCGCCCTTGCCACGATAATCGGAAGACCCGTCTATTCCGCAGCATCGTAACTAAAATTGAAATTTAATCAAAGTTAGCGCGATCTAAGTTTCTCTCACGTTTTATTTATGCATTTATTTGATTGTAAATATAATTAAATTGATCTTATGTTATCGCATTCATCTAAGTTTATTTTGGCAGGAATGCAATCGGTTCTCGTGAAACGAAGATGGATTAGCAAGTATATATTGTATTAGTAACGAAATAAAACGCGGTGTATTTGAGACAGGAAGAATGCGATTTTGTACCGCGGACTGCATGTGATCCCAGATGGGTTTGTCATCGGTGATCGCGAGGGCAAAGATCTCTTGGTGTCGTGCGGCCGACAGGGTGTCTATTTGCTCGTGTCGCACCAAGGTCCAAATCCCAACACTGGTTTCGATCAGCACGATGATAGCCAGCGCTATGGCAAGCTATAGAGTATATACGAATTAATAATTTCATATTAGCTACACGGAGAGAATTTTTTTTAAATTTACCCTGCAAATCACGTTAATTATGAGACAATATAGTATTTAGGCAAATTTTACTGTGCACTACAATAAGATTTCGCAGTAAAATTTATTGTAGTGCACAGTAAAATTTACCTAAATACTATATTGTTTTACAATTAACATGATTTTCATGGTAAATTTTAAAAGAAAATTCTCTCCGTGTATGAACTTCCTAATTCTTTCCCGAGTATTCGAGAAATGAACTTACAACGATCACTTGGCCTTTGTTGGAAAAATCCAGGAATTGCCAGGCGAACCAGCCGATCCCGCATATGATAACGCCCATCGCTAACAAAGTGGCGGATGACCCGCACACATGGCTGGGTGTGAGCGGCGCGTATTCGTGCAGCTGATAAATGAAGTAACCGGCGCACACGCTCATAATCGCGCCGGAAATCTGTGGAGCAAGCGACAAAGAGAGTTTGTTTAATTGCGGCAGGTATTTCGCGCCATATTTTCGTTATTGCCGGTAAAAAAACCTATTAGATAAATAAATATATACGTACTATTTTTAAAACAAATTATATTAGGGGATACACCGTTTTTTTTCTTGGAAAGCGCATTTATTTCAATAAGAATATAAATTAATACCTTAGTCAAAATATTTTTCATCGTTTTCCATTACTTTTGCCTATCTTTCTGGCAAAAGCTGGATTCCGCGGCGATAAAACGAACTGTCTTTTGAAGCAAGCCATGTATCCACCCATTTTCCTACTTGTTCGTAATTGGAAAAATGTGTATCAGCGAACGCGTGTTGCATCGATCGGAAAGGATGATAATCCGATCGATGCAACACGCGCTCGCTGATACACATTTTCCCAATTACGAACAAATAGGAAAATAGGTGGATACATGATTTCAAAAAAAGTTCGTTTTATCGTCGCGGAATCCAACTTTTGTTAGAAAGATGGGAAAAAGTAATAGAAGACGATGAAAAATATTTTTTGACTAAGGTATTAATTCATATTCTTATTGAAATAATTGTGTTTTCCAAGAAGAAAACGGCAAAAACTAAGTGTATTCCCTAATATATATATAATTAAAATATATATATATAATTATATATAAAAATGTCCACTGCACATAAGAAAAATAATGTTTGCATTGTGTTTTTTATAAAAAATAAATTTGCCATTACATTATATAATATCTTATATACAATTACATATACAATTTTATATACAATTTACATTCTTTCTCATTTCTATTTATAAACTTTTTTTTATCGAGTGTACAGTTCAAAGAGATTATATAACACAGAGCAGAAGAGGCATAGCGGCGGCCCCTTTGAGTGGAAACGTGAGCTGATAGAAAGAGAAAGAAAATAATAGAGCAAGGGGTTACATGATCCATCTTTTATCTTTTTCTCGCGTGCAAGATTGAACAACAATGTAGATGGGCGACTCGTTTTCTGTCTCTTTTTATACGCATCACGCATTCTTAAGCCCGTAATCAGACTGAGATAGGAATGGAATCTGACAAATCAAAACAAAGTTCACTAAATTTGAGATTGGTTTTCTTTCTTCTAATTTAAATCCCAATTCAATCTCAATCTCAATCTTTAGTCTGATACGGGCTGATACTTTAGCTGGCTCCTCTACAGATTCTAAATAACGATTGTTTTTGCTGCGACATTCACACTTCACGATTATTTTATTATGAGGATAATGACTTGCAGAACGTTTCGCTTCACGATAAATACGCTTCTGCAATCGCTTGTCGATCGCATTATAATTCTGTACGGAAATAGACGTCGAGACAAAAATCGATTTTTCGAAGCTGCCCGCATCGAATCTCCTTCTCGAAATCAATACACGAACTCGCGACGATAATGGTTATCAGATTGTTATAACAAAGTTATCATAGATAAGAAAGCCGACGAGAGAAATCTTATCTATGAATGGGCGAGGCGCTATAGTCTTTTTAAAAACAAGCTTGCATCGCTTACGGGCACTTTGCTATCGCACTAATATCACAGCGACAATCGTTTTGAGCTGAGAGAAAAATCGGTGTAATTTCTCGCCTTTCGATTCGCAGGAGATGTATCTTATCGCCAAATAGATTTTAATCTTGCAACATATATTTCAGATAAACAACTTTCATCAAAATCATTAGATTCGAACTAAATGTGTACGTATGCAATGCAAATATGTAAATTAAAATATTTAGAGGAGATTGATTAATGACTGCATATTATTATGGCAAAATCGTCACGTCGTGTTAGCGATATTTTAACAATTGCAATAGAATAAAGTGTTAATTAAGGTCACTTCGTAATTACGAGCGTTCTCCTTCAACTCTTGTTGCCTTTCGTTAATCAGTGCATAGATATATCAACGCCAAGAACACCGCACGTTTTAATACGCGATTGTTTCTTATTTAGACGACTGAAAAACAAACGGAAATTTGATATATTTTAGAGACGAAAATAACTCCGAGCGTTTGAAAAATTATAATTCGAAATAATGTCATAAGAGAATTGATTAACGAGATCTATTTGTCAATGAATTCAATAGCAACTAAATCAATTTTAATCTTTAAAAACTTTAAAACAATTTTAATCTTTAATAACTTTAAAACAATTTTAATATCAATTTTCCGACAAATTCTTAATTCTTAATTCTTAATTCTTTAGAGAGTCCGTTTTTATTTCAAAAACGAAACACAACTGCAATATCATTTAAGAATTTAAACACGTTTTAATTCAACGAGTTATTAAAACATAAGCAATACGTGAGCGATATACACAAAGACTTCTATAGAAGTACGTCTGTTAAACATACCGGTTTTAAATGGGAGGAACTGATCCGCTTTCAAAACAAATGTGATTCAATCTCGCGACAGTCCTGCATAATTTCAATTTAACTCTCCGCTTCTAATAACATAAATTAATTTTAATCTTGGATTAATTAATTTTTTTTTCCAATTCTGAGAATTAAGATAAAGAGTGGATTAAGCCGGGATTAAAGTTAACCCACATTGATAGAAACGGATAAATCTCTCGTAATCAATTCTCTTCAATTTGTCTCAACGTAATCGCGTTTCATTTTGCCCGGAACACGCGTGCATATATATATATGTATATACGCACACACTCCCTCCGGCATTACACCACCTCCGCACACAAATTGCGAGACGGGTTGGCGCCGCTCCCTCAAAACGAAACCCCACCAAATGGCAACAGCTGCGCGATTGATCATAATAATAGCATCGAGTGGATACTGGATCTCGATCGCGAGGCACGACGATGGCAACAACAGAGACGATCGCTCGCGAATTTGTCGCTTCGACGAAAACCGCCGCGGCGGTTCGAACGCGCGTGACGGCCGGGGCCGCGATCTCTCGATGTTAAGATGAGACCGCGACACCGCGCGCGATCGGATTTCCGCGACGTGGATTTTCTCTAGAGTGTTGGAACTTACGCCAAGGAGGATCGCACCGGCGACGAGGCAGTAGCGGAAACAGGCGAACGCGCGTCCCATCCTCGTGCGTTGCACGCGCTTATAAATAGCGTAACACTAACAACAACTATTTGGATCGTACACGCGCACGCTGCGTAGCGACGCGAGAGAGTCTCGTCCGACGTCGTCGTCGTCGTCGCCGCGTTGCGTGCTCGCCGCCGTCGCCACGGTGACCGGACGGACGCTAAATGGGGCCTTTGTTCACGCGCGCGACGGTTGTGCGAGCGTGTGCGGTACACACCGGGCGGACACACGGCACACCGCGTGCTGCGCGCGCTAAGGAGCGGCGCCCTGCGCGACCAATCAACCGGTCGCTTTTCCGAAAGCAGTCACGGCACTTACCATCGCCGTTTTGCGGAAAAGTGAGAAGATTGCGGAGCCAGCCACCGTTGTGATCCATCCATCCGTCCATCGAATATAAATATTATTGTCGGAACATCGGCTGATCAGCTGTTCGGAGGAAATACCGTTGATGGTACTCGCAAGGACTGCAAATACGCTGGAAAATATTGTGCCGGGTTTTTCTTCCTTATTTTTTCACTTTCGAAAGTTAAGCAAGGTTTACATGCTTTTTTTAATTAGCAATTAACGTGCGGTAAATTAGCGCGCAAATTTAAAAAATATTTTGTGTCTGTTAAAACCGATTCTTTTTCAAGTTTTAGTGTTGAATTTTTGACATACCCTGCACGTATTGATTCAACAGAATGCGATTATTATTTCAATTATATTAAATTGATATTTAATTATTTCTTAGCGTTGAGAAAAAGTACAATTTATAAGTGAATGAACAAATAACATAAATATAATGCAATTTTAAAACATAAATTATAAATAAACAGAATGTATTGTATTTAATACATAATACATTAACATATTATAAGTGTTAATTATTTGTATTTCTGCAATTTGTTTTCAATTATTTCTCATTTCTATAAATTCCGAAGAAAACAAAATTTGAGAAGATATCTTCCAGAAATCCTCAAATTTAAAATCTAACAAAATTCTTAAAAATATGCGAATTTTCTCAACAGAATTGCTCTTTATTTTGCAATGCCTTTATTTACAATAGATATAGTAAGCCTCAAGCCGTAAGAAATGGACCAATCGCAGTCGAATGTGAAGAGAATAATCGATTACGATTGGTCAATTTCTTACGGCTTAAGACTCACTATTGTACATCTATTGTGTTTCGGGACTTATTATTGCAAAAATATAAAATTATACCGCGTCTGACGGTATCGTCGCAGAAGCACTATCGATACTGCTGTACACACACACGTATCGACATTGGTACATCGAGATATCGATGTACCGTTTATGCATGCCATTGTGTGTATTTATACGAGCGAGAGAGACTAACCTCACTAACCATCCCCGATCGGAGATAGGTTGAGACAAAGCAGCGAGTAATAATCACTATTTGTCCAAGTTATGTCTAAGTGATCGGCGATAATTGAGATCAAGCGATACAATTAATCAGCGTCCAGTGCTTTTGCTTTACGGTAATCCTAACCAGCGGTTAACAATCGGCTGTCCAACCGTGTACTTAACCTCACGCTTAACCTATGGAAAAAAAAGCAGTGTTTACCGGGGAGAAACGTATTGGTTGCGATATTAGTGGCTCGTTAGATTTTTACGAGCCAAAATATAACGATCTCTTATTTACATTTTTAAAGTCATTTCTCTTGTGCTCGATGTAACTCACGTGGCCCGCACATTCGTCGCGCCGAGTATATCTGGTATTGTGACAGCATGCAGATGGAATTCTCCGACTAGAATCACTCCTCTCTTTCTAATTGTTGTTAATGTTGTTCTCTCGGCAGTCTGGCAGAATGGCTGGCCCTTCCTCTGATCAGAGTAGCATCGCCCAGAAGACGTGGGAGCTGTCAAATTGCATCGAAACCATCAGCACCATGGATGAGATTTACAGATACGACAAGAAGGAGCAACAGGATATATTAACTGCCAAACCATGGGAGAAAGAGTAAGGATGACTGCTGATCTGCAAGCCACTCTCCAGGCCAAAAGTTTGGAAGTACCGATAAAAATACAGATAAACTGTATGACGTGCAACTGGCTATGAATTATGTATGAAGCAGATTAAACAAAGATGAGCTATGTTTTTGATTTTATAAAGTAATTATTGGCTCTGAGGAACTATTGTTAAAAAATATGCATTACAAATGTTTGAATATAAGTGATTAGAATTTATAAATAAATAGATTTTATAAAAGAATTATTGGATCTGAGGAACTAATGTTAAAAAATATGCATTACAAATATTTGAATATAAGTGATTAGAAGAAATGTCGATTTTTTAAAAGAGTTTCCAAACTTCTGGCCTGCATATAAGTGAGAACCAGAGCATCGACTGTAATCGACCTTCTCTTATTTGTAGTCCCCATTTCTTCAAGGACATAAAGATATCCGCGTTAGCTCTGTTAAAAATGGTTATGCACGCACGATCCGGCGGCACGCTGGAGGTAATGGGCCTCCTGCTTGGTAAGGTAGCGGCGAACACGATGATCGTAATGGATTCCTTTGCATTGCCAGTCGAAGGGACCGAAACCAGAGTGAACGCTCAAGCTCAAGCCTACGAGTACATGACGGCGTACATAGAAGCAGCCAAGCAGGTATGTACATGCGCTTTGTGACGAAAAATTCTGTAAATATACGACGAACAAATTTATGATGATAATAATTGTGATAATTCATTTTTCAGGTCGGTAGGTTAGAGAATGCAATCGGATGGTACCACAGTCATCCCGGATACGGCTGCTGGTTGTCTGGCATTGACGTGTCCACACAGATGCTCAATCAAAATTTCCAGGAGCCATTTGTTGCGATTGTCATCGATCCCGTGAGAACCATCTCCGCCGGCAAAGTTTGCCTTGGCGCGTTCAGAACTTATCCCAAGGTACGTCTCAGGTCTCATGCCTTCTTGAAGAAAGATTTGAAATCCACCTATCCATTCCTTAGAGGAAAAAAAATCACAAAGAGAGATACATGTTTCTCTCGATTCCAGAGTTAACTCAGTGATGTCGAAAACTTCGCGTTTTTTGTTGCGAGAAACCGTTGTCATTTCATTCGATTGCTTTTTAGGGATATAAACCTGCGAACGAGGAGCCGTCGGAATACCAGACGATACCACTGAACAAGATCGAGGACTTTGGCGTTCATTGCAAGCAATATTACTCCTTGGAGGTGTCCTACTTCAAATCCGCGTTGGACAGACGGCTGCTCGACTCGTTGTGGAATAAATACTGGGTGAACACCCTGAGCTCTTCCAGCCTGTTAACGAACGCGGACTACACCACCGGCCAGATATTCGATCTGTCGGACAAATTGGAGCACTCGGAATCGGCGCTGGGCAGAGGATTCGTCCTGGGCGGCACGGATCCCCACGATCGCAGTACAGTGGAAAAGCTCATAAAAGCGACCAGGGACAGTTGTAAGACCACCATCGAAGTTATTCACGGTTTAATGGCGCAAATTATCAAGGACCGTCTGTTCAATCACGTCGGTGGTAACGCGTCTTGTGATCCTCAGCAAAAATAATAAGATTCAGCATAATGTGTGTGATAATAAGTCTGCTAATGAAAAGTGTGTATTTGTAATAAAGATATGTACCCTCGTTTAAAGTCAAGATCTGTGGAGCGATTTACTTTGCGACTCGGAATTTGAATTTCCTTATCGAAACTGCTTTTACTTGGAAAACTTGGTTTAAGATCGAGAATTAAAATTCAAAGAACAAAATATCAATTGTTACATTCGAGAGAATGAAATATAGCGTACAGTTAGCTGCTTTGCGAACTCGTGAGGACCTCAGTGAAAGACTTCGAGTACACGGATTCGACGCTTCGGAATGACGGATTTTAAAAGCGTAGTGGAATAAAAATACATTTTTATTTTTCACACCTTGATTCGCTAGAAAGTATATATACAGCATTTTTATCATTAATCAATATCCTCATGTATGTATTTATATATTTATAGGTATGTTTATAAAACTAATATGCGATATTCAGAACAAGTAGGCAGAGCAATACCCCCCCACTGAAGGGCTGACGCGCTGTGTCACAGACTTTATAAGGACAAGGCCACTCAGAAAAACACGCACCCACCTGTTCTATTTTATATATTCCTATACCTCGCGCGCACGCGCACTCGTATCTCGCACAACAACACATAAGGGACGGAGCTAAAATGCATACAGTTATACATACATATATATACATATATGTATATATACTCAATCAATCGTAAACCTAATCGAGAAGTTATACATAAGATATGATCCCGGTTAGAAAATCAGAGAAGGAAACGTACGACTGAAAGTAATGTGCGGCATTCTCGAGAGAGATGAGTTACCTTTATGGTATGTACATACATTACATCTACGTCGCATCACGCCACGATGTCACACCGGAGCGAATTAAATTAATAATTAAGTACAACAGCGTGATTTTTATATAACTTAATTCATAGAAAAGTCCAGAGAGAAAATACGATAGCTGGAAATCCCTGGCTTTGGCCATTCTATTGTGTTTCTCAGCGTATCGTTTCTTTCCAACTTTTATATTTATTGTAGGACTTACATTTGCCGCTCGTCATCAACAGTCGGTGAAAATTCGACAAAGTAAGGTGTAAAATCGATACGAACGTCAAACGAGCGAGTTTTTTCCCATACACTTCTTTCTCTTTCTTTCTCTCTCTCTCTCTTCGTTATTCAATATATATGTACAAGTGATGTCTCTGAGACTATAAATAATTCAAATTGAGTAGTAAATAAAATTAGAATCCCAAAATTAGATAGTAAAAACCATGTACATCGTTACCTCGCTGTTAATTTTGTGTTAGTGTTTACCGCAACTTAAAAAGTAGACTATTGTCGACGTATACAGACAATTATCCTTCTTTACATTTGTGACTTTTCTGAAGAGACAATGATGTAGAATTGAACGTTCGACTGCAGCACGCGGATACGAAATCAATCTTAAAAAATATCGAAAATTTCCACTCGTAGAAACAATTTCGCAGCCACGTGATGCCGGAGTGTTGTTGACTCCGACTCTGTAACCTTTTTTTACGTCAGAATTCTCGCGTTAAAATCAATTTGATATAGCATAGCAAAATATGCGTTTGAAGCGTTTTTTTTTTTTGGTGCGAATTAATGTCACTCGGACGCGACGAAGAGGTTCAATTGGACCGCGGAAACCGCGGTATATAAATTCTCGTGATAACTTTCTCGCGCAATCTCGGATGCGAGGCTTCAACATGCATACATACGCGCGACAAATATAACATGACAATCAGAATTCAGCCCTCCAATGTTTACTCTGTACTCTGAATACGAATTCGAAAAAACTGCGCAACACACTCATGCACCGTAGGCGTCGGTGTGTGTATGTGATGTGTGTTTGTGTCGGCGTGTATATCTCACCCCTCTCCTCTTCAAAAAAAAAAAAAAAAAAATCTTTCCCGAAGACGGAAATGTGAATATTATTCGTATTCGCGCTATTGAATCGACAGTTCTATCATGTACACATATAAAGAGTCCCATCTCGCGTATTCTTTCTCTTTTTTTTTCCCCTCCCTATTTCCCCTATCGCGTAAGGATCTCCTCGTCTCTGTACGTCACTGTGATTATCTAATATTTACAAGACGATCATTCGCGAGTCGTCCGCGATATCTTACAAATACAGCGGTAGAAAAGATCGTATTTTTGTTTGCTTGTTTGTTTGTTTGTTTGTTACAGCGAGAGAGTCAGTAGGTGCCTTCTCGTAGATAACTTTTTTGGGGCAGCGACAGAGCACTTTCGGTGAAACGGAACCTCCCTCCGATTCCTCCTTAGGTTCCTCTCAATGTTGTTCTGTTGTGTTCTCGAGTGGCGTGTGATTGCGTCTGATTGTGTTTCCGTTGTCCTCTCCTACTCTCGTTTCCCCGTGTCTCTTCGTTTTTCTACATACGTGAGAAATTACGCGCTAAATTTAGTAGCCGTAAAAACAGCGGGAATGCAACCGATCGAAGCACGAGGTGTCCCTCCCCCCCCTCCTCCTTCTCCTCTCCCCCCAATTCCCTCCGCGTATTTCGATTAGAAAAAATATTTACATCTTTCTTGTCTCTTCTCCTTATTTTCCACACACATACACGTGCGGCACGTTATGAAAACGAAGCACTTGCACTCTCTCTCATCGTAATCGAGCGTAATCACGCGAGAACGATAGACGACAGTAATAATACAAAACGTAATTTTTTTTTTGTTGAAAGACCGCGACCTTAATATCACATCACCCGCGACCAGCTTTAACACACGCGCGAAGAGAAGTCGCGAAGTTTCACATCACGAATGAAGTTTTCAGAATATGCCGAACAAATCTCGCGGGCGAAATTAAATTATCATACCTTTTGACATACCCAAAGTCTCTCTTATAAAGTTTAGATCTTGCCTTGTCGGTGCCGCGCATACAAAGATTTAATTGCTTAATATAAGTGTCTGTGTGTATGTATGTATGTGTATTTTTTAGATATATCCATTTGCCAAATAGTATGTCTCACTTCCCGACGGAGAGACGAAATTACGTTTTTTTTCCATCCTCCCCTCAATCCCATCTCAAGACTCGGTCAATTATTTTTTAGGCAGGCGTATGTACAAATGAATTCTGTATTACATCTTGTCACGGCGACGTCGAAACGGGAAAGTTATTGACTTCTGTCTGCTCCAGAACCGACCCGGTTGGGCCTGTATACGATATACGCAGTCTCATCCTTAACTGTGCCTGGAGAATAAAAAGAGAGAGATCGTCGATTAGAGACGAAGAGCTCAAATGAGTGTTTCTATTTAGAGATAACATATTGAAAACTGACTCTATTCATATTTGTCACTCTCAACACTTGGGTTACTTGACCAGACGGCGGAATGACGGTACCCGACGGCGATAACATTTGTAGTTGGAATGTCTGCAAGCGAGAGAAACGCAACGATAAATACCGTTGGTTTTTGATGCACGACAAATCGTAAATGTGTATATGTATCGTGTCTCACCCTAGGAACTGCTGCTTGAAACAGAAAATCGGTTAAAGTGGTGCTTCCGGAGTTTTGAGCCAGCATATTTATGACTAACAGATCGGGGATGTCGGGCGGTCTCTCCAATTTGAACGTTATTTTGAGCCCCGATTTGTCCAATACCGCCATGCTCGGTAGTTCTGTAAACAACGAATCATGACTGTATGATTTACACGCTAAGCAATAAATCGATGACATCGTAAATCCCACGAACCGATGTTTTGCACCGACGGAGTACTGAGCAGTCCGTCTACTAAGAAGTTGCTATTGCTGGTGGGGCTGAACATCGGTGTGGACGGCGCCTGCGGTTGAAGTGGTAGCGTGGGAGCGACAGGCGTCGTGGGCGTATTCAAATCCAGACTTCCGAGCAAATCCAGCAGGTCATTATTATGCGCTAACGCGGTCGAACTCGGCGAAGAATTTTTGTTGGTCGTCGCCGCCGCCGGCATCGTCACTCCTACATCCGTAGTTCCAAGTAGGTCTAAAAGTGCACTCTGCAAAATTGTAAAAAAAAAAGAATATGAGATACCGATAGAGCTCCTTTTTCAAGTTAGCATATTGCAAAATCTATTTATTTTTATTAGGAATCTTTTATGTTATTCTTAGCTTATATTTATAATTAAAACGAGAAAAGTCTGGAAGGACTCCTGAAGTCCTCAGGTTTCGATTTCCTTTTATTATTTCGAAAATGATAATTTTTCACTCGTGTCACTTTTATATCAACGCGGCGATATATTAAGAGGTATACAATATGTATATGCGCTTACTGAATCGGATGTAGTCGTGGTCGGTTCCAGAGCCGCGGACTTCTCGTCCTCCGGTTCCGGCTCGCCGTTCACCATGCCTATGATACCGTTGGCCTGCGGCCGCGCGGTTTCCATCGGCGGCATTCTCTCGAGCAGCGCGGGCCGCAGGTGATCGTACTTTCGGAACAGCTGCGAGAACTCGATACCTCTTTGCTGTAATTCGATATGCAAATTGCTACCAAACGTATCTATGATCTGACGGATTTTCCTGCAATAACAGACAATTGAGTGAATATTGCGATTGTATGTGGATAGAGATCTCTCGTATATAGATACAGCTTGGCCATAAGTAAAAAGCATCCCCCACAAATTAAAAAACATAAACGTCCTATATATAAAAAATTAAAAAAAAGTTTTATTGAAAAATATTTATTTTTATATCTATTTCAAAATTTTATTCTTTTTTTCTTTGGCTCTTATAACCAAGAAATTATTACCAAGTTTTTTCCGAAAAAAATAAATTGAGGGTGCTGTATATTTATGGCCAAGGCTATATATGGATAACAATGAATGATTGAAAGCAATACTAACTCGTGACCTTTCTGGAACCTCGTGCTCAATTTCGTGAGGGACAATAAGGTGTACTGTTTCGTGACCACAGTGTTTTGCGGATTCCAGAGTAGCCTTTGATACACATCGATGATTTCGTCCTCCGTCAACTGATAAGGAAAATTGAGAAATCATTAAATAAAACAATTTCATGCATATACCTAAGCAAAATGTAACAAACGGCTTTTAAGAAAAAAAATATAATCAAAACAGAAAAAAAGGTTATTTAAACGCTTCATTAGCATTAGATCTTTCTATGCGAGTACTACTGTGGCTGCAGCTGAACTTACATTGATCGGAGTCTCGGCATCTTCCGACGGCGGACTGTACAGCAACAGATCGCCGTACTCGCCGATGCACCACGTGGCAACTTGCGCCAAGGGCTGCTTGTCGGACGTGTCCTTTTCTAACGCGCGCCACAGCGCGCTGACGGCATAGCCCTGCTGCGGCTGCGTCTCCGAAATTAATTGTATCGTGCACGCCACCACGTCGTCTCGCACGTAATTACCAGCCTGAAAATTAAACGGAATTCGATAAACTCTCTCGCATCCGTCCACGTGTCTCACATCGTAATCCCGCAAAAGTACACACCGCGACGAGCACTTTGAAGAGCGTCTCGAGATGCCAGCGTTTGTTCGGGGCGAATCTCTCCGCGGACATTACGATGTTGCTGCTGCATTGGGCCTTGAACTCCGGATCGGCGCGTTCCAAGAACAGGAGCAACTCCTTCATCATGTTCCTGATATTGTTGGCGTTCACGAGCGCGAAGCTCAGCTCCATCGCGCGCCTTCTGATCGATACGTCCGGGTCCTTCAGGCATTCCTGAAATACGGCGTGAGAATATTAATCGCAAATCGAACAACCTTTATCTTCGCGCTCGTAAAAAAAAGGGAAATCCGCAAGTGAATATTTTATACCAGAATTGTCGATCGATGCCTCTGCACCGCGCTCGTGTCCACGTAAACCGTCTTCAATAACGTGTTCAGGGCCACGTATCTGATATTCTTGTCGTTATTCAGTAAAAATCTGCCGAGTATGTTGACCGCCAAGACGCGAAGCCCGCTCTCCGACTTGATGTCCATGATCGATAGCACCGTCTCGTAGAGTATCGTGTTACCGACGTTTTTGCTGGTTTCCGTGTTCGTGGCGACTTGAGCAAGAATGTCGTTCATGGCTTCGGACGCGTCGACGTCGTTGCGTCCCAGTATGCGCAGGAGACGCAGTATCTTCACCTGAAGAAACGGATCCGACACCCCGGATACGTCATGCTCGGGCGAGTATCCGGCTAGGATCAGGTTCTTCAAGATTCTCACGAGATTTGGCACGATCTGAAATGAGACCTCTCTTTATCTCCATTTAATCCCGAAGACGGTCGCTGTAAACTCCCAACTTGACTAGACATCTATTAGAGCAATATCTAATAAGACTAATAAGATCGAGACAGAGCAAACGTCTCTCCCGCGACGAGAATGTAAGTACGTACATTCTCATGACAAAATACAAAACAAGCATCTATCTATCGTTTCCGAATAATATCCGAAGAGCCTTGATCGATTTATTTATTAAGAGTAATTCTCTCGGATGCTAATTATATCGATATTGTAAACTGTATAGATTGCTTACAGATTATTTAGTTAAATATACGATAAAACATAGATAATTCCATTTCTATGAACAAAGCTGAGATAAACATGCAATTGTAGAAAAGAATGTCATCATACTAATTACATGAATTATATAATTACATAATTATTACTATAGTAATATCTTTATATACACATATATAATAATTATTTCTAACGAAAAAAAATTCATGTTTATAAAAAGTGCATTTAAGTGCGATATAAATTGTTGGATATTTTTAACCAAAACTTAAAAATAGCAAGGTAGACAATTTTGGTTTTGGCAATTTTGATTTTCAAAATCTATTTCGGACAAAGTAAAAGAAAAGAATGGAGTCTGTGAATAATATAAACATATACATGCAAAGACGCAGAAGGACTTTTTATATTACCTCACGGTGGCCGCTTTCCTAAGAAAAACAATTAACGCTTGTATTACATTTGCTCACGTGATAAATTCGAAGACGTTAATTTCATAAAAAATATTGCACGATTGCCCTTATTGTATATTTAAAAAAAAAAAAGAAAGATAGAAGAGAAACCTCGCCTACATGTCTACATTCGTTTTTTAACGAAGCTGTTTAGAATCTACTTAAAGCATGATTACAAATGTAAATGAAAGAACGTGTTTGAAATTTCGATATTGTATTAACATAAAGCGCAGAAAAACAGTCTTTTCCTGATACTTGTAGATTGATAAAAATCCGTGGTGCAATACATTTAATACGTAATATCAATAAAATATTTTTTCAATCAGCTGTCGCGTATCTGTGCTCGTATAGAGAATTAAGACTGCATTCTTTTCCGTCACTACTGCTAATGGATCGTAATTATCTAACGAACACAAGCCTCAGTTCCTAATAAATAATTCCGCTATGCACTAGATACTTTTTTTTTAACGGGTTTCTCCACTACTATCTAGCTCGACATCGGCCATACTAGATAGATCGTATACAATCAATCATCTGTTATGTAATGTGCAGTACTACGATCCGTACTCATACCTCATTTTCACTGATAAATGCGCAATTACAGACAGTTTATATTACTGTCTGAGTGTTATAGAATCTCAGAAGTAAATGAATTATTTATAGATAAAAGTGAGATAAGAATACGGACTTGAGCCGCGGACGGGTAGATTTATGACACGTCCTACAAAAACCTGTTTCAAAATGTTCGAGAGTGCATCACACAACTTGGTTAAAAATTGAAAAAAAAATTGAAAAACAAGCGAATTTACTGGAATATTTAGTTCCATTATAATTATTTAGAATTATAAATATTTAGAATTGGATCACTTTTGAAATTTTCACCAAGTTGTGTGATGCACAATCGAATCCCCGAGCTACGCGGCGTATCGGGCAAGTGTCTCGGATATACCTTCTTGAAGTGATTCAACGTGTCGACGCTGTTCTCGCACATCTCCGTGATGAGGGTGACGCCGGTAATGAGGACCCCGTGATTCTTCTCGGTGATCAGGCTGCGGGTGGCCGGCAGGAACATCTCCATCAGCTCCGGCACGCGTCTGATGATCCGAAAGGCGCAGAGCGCCGCTTTCTTCCGGATGTACGCGTTCGGTGACTTCATCAGTCTCTCCACCTCCGACGCGAGATCCCTCGCCATTTCCGGCGACGCGATCGCGCCGAGGGTGCACAACGCCAGACCGATGACGAACTGCGTGGAGCTGTTCAAGTCACTGTGCGAAACAGAAACGGGAGGAAGAGACGGTTGAGTCTCTCGTTTTTCTTTTACCGGCATCCGAAATAGAGAGAGCGCGAGACACGTTACTTTTTCAGACAATTCGTGATCAGGAGATGCACGTCCTGCCGCTCGTCCAGCAACAGCATGGCCCCCAAGTAACCGATCCGCTTGTCGGTGAATCTGGGCGACGCGATGAGCTTCAAACATTCCAATTGACCAAAGTGCGCCGGATACCTGAAACAGGTCATTAACACGCCACCTTTAGTAACATCTTCTCGGTAATATCGAATCACGGTGATTTAATAAGTCGATACAAACCCCAGCATATGAATGTACAGTAACTTGGCGATGTTACGACACCTCCACGCGCTGTCTTCTTCCCTAAACGTCGAGCGAATGTACGCGCATTCCTTGTTCACGACCGTCCTCTCCTCCGCGGCCGTTCGTGCAGCCCGTATTTGCCTAATCAGATCCCTCAGCCGCGTCGGGGCAGGCATCCTAACTGTCGAGACTTTCGAAGTGTGAAAAAGTTATCAGTATAAATTGACATTATCTTTGGCAACCGCTGATTCCACTTGCAAATATCTTCGTACATTAATATGTTATCGCAACGTAAAAAAAAAAAAAAAAAAAAACGTAACGTACAAATTTTTGAAGATATGGTCAAAGTATAAAAAATACTTCAAAATTAATTCTGTTTACACGAGTTAAGATATGAGAATGAAAATTTTTATTTGACATCTTTAAAACACAATTCAATTAATCTCGTGTGAGAGAGGAATCTACAAACAGGCAGAATCAGATGTTCCAATGATTAGCTATTACAGCCATTGTGAGTCAGTTAAATTAACAATACACCTACCTCTTTCCACAGCCTCATTGAAAGCCTGCTTTATGGAGGCCATGTTAAAGGCTGGGTTAAACCTGAAAAAGTACACACCCATGCGGCTTTACGACCGTTAGCACTCCTACCTGCCGAATCTACATGAAACTTATCGTGCAATGACACTTGTTTTATACAACGCCTAGCCTTACTGCAATCAATTTCATATCTTGCAGCGTAAGACAGAAAAGTAAAAGCTACATCTCTGCATTAAACGTTCTCATTATAAGATATCTTCATAATCAATATAAAAATGCTTTATCAGATGCTGCTGTCTTGTTGTTTTTTTTTTTTCAATTATAATACTCTCAGAAACGTAGATGATATGATTTTTCTTTCGCTGTCTCATTACTATCCGTACGAGCTTGAAATTATCCAGTACACTATACACGAGTGAGACTGTATGATTATGAATTTACCCATGTTCTGAGGCATTCATCGTTTCTCGACTTGCGGCTCCGAACCTATGCCACAAACTTCACAAGGAAAACCAAGCGCAGACGAGTACAAAACACGGGCTCTGCTATCCTCCTAGTGGACACAGGACGACAACAATATTATACAAATATACAACGTGTTAGTGCCATACCGCATTAATGGGTCAAATCTAAACCGAAGCAACATGTGTGAACAGACTGCAGGTCTCTCATGCCGCAATGAGAGTTAGAACTTGGGTTCATATTTCGTACGTATTCTAACACTCTGCCCTATTTCATCATAAAGGAACTTTGCAGCTCTTGACAACTCACTTTGCATACCGCCTTCACAAGTATCCTTTATTTAAAATTCTCGTTCGTTTGATGGATATATTCTCATCGCCGCAGCAAGATAATTGTGTACTTCATTAAAATTAACATACAAGCGCATGATTGTAATTATCTTTAATCGCACGTGAGGAAACATGAAAAGAAAATAAAAATTGATAAATTCGTAAAACCAAATTTTCTATTAAATTCAATTTTGGGCTCTATTCTGTAATTCTTAATGATATTATCGAACGATTAGTAATTTTTCCTCTTCTATAAATGATACATTATTTATTAACAACGAAATGGTAACAAAATTGCCGTAAGTTCAACGTCCCTTCAGATATTGAACTTACAAAAACTTTGTCGCTATTTTGTATAAAATGAGAAAAATTACTATTCACTGACGACAGTCGTTCAATAATGACATCATTAAGGATTACAGAATAAGCATCCTTAAGTGACATAACCACTTTTATAAAAAATCTAATAGCCACTTAGAAAGAGAAAGATAATATCATCATCGAGATTACCTTAATTGAGAGCTCATGAGTCCAAATAATCGACAGCTGTGTCACGATCAGCACACAATTTGTACGCTCTACTAAATCTGAACGCAATTTGATTGAGAAGGCGGAATGCAAGAGAGCAGCTCCAAAGTGCGCTTTCCTAAATAGGGCATCGGTTCTCAAGGCCCTGTGGACATGCGGACGACATTAGGACGACATTTCGCGAGTACCGTTCAGGTGGTAGCGAGGAGCGTGAGAAACGTTACCGGTCTCGGGACGCATCGGCGAGTCGCGAGGAGCACGAGATAGCGATCTAACCGGAGCGTGATGTGTTTCTCATTCGTGCGCGAGAATCTCGGCCACGGCGACGTGTTGCAAAACACGGCCAGCTTATATATGTATATATTAAAAAAAAAAAAAAAAAGAGGGGGTCGCGAGGAGGAGTCGATCGCCGAGGGTCAGCCCGCGGCTGTCGGAACGTCGAGCGGACCCTCGTGGAAGGAGGACCTTCCTCCGCCGTGGACGTCACCGTGGCGTATCCGCTCGGGGAGCGCGCGCCAGCGTCAACCGTCGTGAACGTCGCCGCGAATCCGCGTCGGGAAGCCAACTTGTTAGCCAACGACTTCCTGCGTGACGTGTTGACTCGCCGCGCGCCAGACCGACTACAACGGGAGTTCTCTCTCGCCTGTCCGCGATCTGCCCTCTGGAGCACGGTCGCGCTCCGCGCGTGTTTACATTACGGACAACGACGACGACGATGACGACGACGATGACGCGGGGAACGACGAGGATGGAACGATCGAGCGACCGCCGTGAAGTCGGCGCGCTCGAAGGAGGACCGACCGCCGCGAGTGTCCTCGGCGAACGCGAGTCCCGTGCACCTCCTTCCCCCTCCCCCTTCCCTCACGCTCCACGCTCCGTCCAGCAGCGGTGGCGTGCTCGAGGTGCTCTCGAGACGGCCAACCGGTCGTCCGACGTTATCGGTTCTCTCCCGTCGAGACTCGGGGGACGGCGGCGACGACTACGTGGATACGTTACCGTCGTGGCGGCGGCGGCGGCGCTCGTCGAGTCCCGTGAAGGCGGTGACTGGTGGTCGCTCGCTAGTCCCGCGAGCCCCGCTTGCGCCCGAGTCCCTACCCACACGGCCGTCAAACCACACGGACCGCACACACTGGCACCCTGGCTGGTCTGGTCCGCCCGCGCGACGATAACCGAGCCGCCTTAACGACGTGTTCTCCCTTTCTCCTCTTCTCTCTCTCTCTCTCGCCCTTTCACTCTTTCTCACTTCCTCTCTCTCGCTCTCCTTCCCTCTCTCTTTCCTGTCCGCCTCGTCGACGACAGGTCGCGCGCGGAATTTCGTGTACTCCGTGCAGGACTCGAGCTTCAAAAGATGGCCGTCGTCGCCGTCGTCGACGACGTCGTCGTCACCGAACCGACGTCGCGTTAGGGACTTTCCACCGGGAAAACGCGCGACTTCGCACCTCGACCCTCCCCCCCCTCCGGAAACGAGCGACGTGTGTCCTAACCTCCTCGCGGCCGCACACTCGACTCCTCGCGCGCGAGAGTAGTCGCCTCCTCCGTCGAGGCCCGGGGGCAGGGAACGCCGTGAACGTGGCAGCACTGCGCAGCACCTGCCGCGAGATTCGAATGCCACCGACCGACGTTTCGAGCGGCAGGTGTGCTCCCAAACGGGGGATCTCGATAAGGTCGATCGGAACTTCCCGCGTGCAGGTCGAGCGGAGGACAACCGAGAGGGAACAATTTTCGTCGCGATCAGCGGAGACCTCGACACGCTCCGGAATTACCACTCCGGTAATCTCCTAACCCGCGAAAACACGATCCTCACTTCCGCCTCTCCGGCGCGATAAGATAACGCGATTTTACGTTGCGCCCGTCCGGGTCGACGGGAGCCGCAGGTCTCTCCCGGACAAGTGTCATTGCAAGACTGATAATGATATGGCCCTATTGCTTTCTCCGTAGGTATACAGCCCGCAGTGGGCGGACAGACAATCCGATGATGAGGCGCAAGGTATATTACATCTCAATCAAAGCGATCTGATAAAGAATGATGGATTTATAGTGGAATTTGCACACCGGGACTTTTCGTATTTCACGCTTAACAACGTCTGAGCACCAAACGCGGCCAAACCATCGGCCGTGGCACACGCGGTCGAGCCTTCCCACGAGGAAGGAGTGGAACTCGAAATCGACACAGCCGACGTTTGGCACTTCGGACAAGTGGTTACAGGAAAATACGAGCCGCGAGCTCGCCCGCAGATCTCGTCCTCCCACCCCCTGACCGCTGACGTTTCTTAAAACGCCATCCCGGACACAGTATCAATTTTCGAAGAAGAAAAAAATAAGATGCAGCCGTATGACGCGGCGATAAACGTCCCCATCTGCTAGCGATGTATAAACCGAATAAATCACCTCCTGTTGAGCTCCGGCGGCAGTACACTCCAATCCTCGGCGTCGTAGTAAGGCCACATGGCTACGCGATAATGTTGAACAAATAAGGAGCTTATACGTGCCAAAAAGACGTACGCGCGCCGCACGAAAAAAAAAAAATCACAACCCAATATATCAAACGGGGTGCAGGTTGCGTGATCGGTCTTGTACGCTCTTTATCACTAACATAATAGAGTACCGGGACAAGGTGTGGGCATATTATCTCTTATCTCGGCGGAGACTACCTTGATATCAGACATTCACACTCACACAAATCCAGATCCTAGCGGGATCTGATAGTATCAATCATTTCACGATACTTTTAATATAACTTTGGAAACGTGTTTTTTTTTAAATCGTAATTTTACGACTATCTTCTACGCGATTTTAACATGCATTCCTTTTGCATCGAAAGGGAGAAAATAGCATAATATTTAATTTAAAATAATATATTTAATTTAAAAAAAAGGTGCTTTATTCATAGAAACCCTGTACACATGCGACATAAATATGTACAGTGCTTTAATATTATATATATATATATATATATTATATATATATATATATCGCAGTATTTTATATATTTATATATTATAAATTACCAAAGAATATAGGAATGTGTCACAGCTAAGATAAGGAATTGTCGTCTTGATTGCGAGGCGGCCGTATATCACTGTTTCTCTTGACGCAATCTACCAGCCAATGTATGCCTTCGTCTACTCCGTCCCTTTTTTCAAATTACAAACTGTTACTTTATGCAATAAATGCAGAAGGTATTTAATACCGTCAGCCTTAGCCATAAATAGTCTCCACAAATTGACATAAATGTTCTATAGCTGACAAAAAACAAATTAAAAAAAAAACAATTTTGTTGAAAATCATATTTATTTTTATAGCAATTTTAATATTTTGTTAGTCTGGCTTTTATTATTACCTTTTTCACGAAGGTGCAATAAATTGAGGCTACTTTATATTTATGGCCAAGGCTGTATAAAGATCTCAGGATTTAGGGTAACTGTCCCTATTAGTGTGCTTGTACGTTTTAATGTGCTTTTATATTTAAATAAACTGGTACAAATAAATAGACAAAGTTTTCTTATTAAGTTAAAGTATTAACTTAATAAAAAAAACACTGTCTATTTATTTGTACCAGTTTATTTTTAAGTATTAACTTAATTAAAAATAAATTGGTACAAATAAATAGACAGTGTTTTTTTTTATTAAGTTAAAGTATTAATTTAATAAAAAAAAACACTGTCTATTTATTTGTATCAGTTTATTTTTAATTAAAAATAAAGTTAATACTTTAACTTAATAAAAAAATTTTGTCTATTTATTTGTACCAATTTATTTAAATTTTATTAAGTTAAAGTATTAACTTAATAAAAAAAAACACTTTGTCTATTTGTACAGTTTATTTTTATGACTTGTTTAAATATAAAAGCACACTAATAGGAACAGTTACCCTGTACATGATAAAAATCATGTGGAATAATTTTGCTTACCCATTAAGGGCTGAAACAGGCATTACCATACAATCCCTTCTACCTATTAAGTGTGCACTTTGATTGAATATCGGCTTCACCTCTCTGACACCCATGCAATCAGGTACGTCCTGCTTATTTGCCAGTACCAATAACGGGACGCCAGTTAGATGCTCGGACGATATCACCTTATCTAAAAGAAAAGGAATGGTGCGATACATCTTGTGTATATCGGATCAATGTGCAAATATCAATATACGTCCCTCGAACCTTGCGAACGATTTAACAACGCAAATATCGTCAGTGTGCGTGTCTTACCAAAAGTTTCTTTGGAATCTGGTATTCTATCACGGTCGGACGAGTCGACGATGTAAATCACAGCGTGAGATTCTGCGTAATACTGCAAATGTAAAACAATACTGTTGAATCCTGCGTGTCATTTGTTGACATTTATTGGCGGGACGAGAAGTATTGCGTAATTCCATAAAGAAATGAGAAAATATAGGGTACACCCGACGGTGTGTCAATTTCGTTTGCATTGTGCATTAGTTGTATATACTTTGTCCCACAGAGACTGAAGCTCCTCTTGGCCGCCGAGATCCCAGAAGTTGAAGGACACCCCGGCGATGTCGATCTTGCCGATGTTGAGGCCTACGGTGGTCGTGATCTTGCTCGGATTCATACCCTTGTAATTCTTCGTGAATTTCGTCTTCGCCGCCTCCAGATAAGTCTGCGAACAGTCGATCGAAAATTGCAGCTGTCGCGCCATAACCTCTAGGAATTGCTCCGGGGGACGCCCTACCGTTTTCCCCGCATTGTCGAGCCCCAAAATCAATATGAAGTACTCGTCCTTTTGCACCAGGTACTTGTACAGACCGTGCAGCAACGTGTACATCTCCGTTGACCGTCGAGGTGCTCGCTGATGCCACGAGTTTACATGTCGTATTGTTTACATTTTAGGCCCGCACTTGTCACGCTCGTGCCATGTTGGCCGATCTGGGAGGGGCCGCTGCATCCGGAGAACAATGCCAGTGAAAGGCATACGGCCATGTTTACTCCTGCTTGTGGATACGTTCCACTTTGACACTTGAGCAACACTCGACACGAGCTTCGTTTAATTAATGTTATATTATGAGCTAATTGTTTAAATTTCAACGACCACGCTAAAACGCACAAGAGTGTTTTTCATAGCATCTCGTCGATCATAACTCTGATAACGCCTGTGTTATTATATTTAGCTCAGTAGAAACGTGATAACGATAAATCTCGAATAATTCAGGAGTAAGCATGGCGACGGGAGATGCTCTCTGTGTCAAGCAGCTCTATCCCGAATCATTTCGATATTTACGATTTTTGCGATTTAATTAGATCTGAAAGTGTTGGGAAGATGAGAAAATTTGGAGCGAAAACATGGAGAACGTAATTTAAGAGAAACATCAGAGTGTATCCTTGAAATATTTTATTGTTGATAATGTGGATGTCGCCTAGCTGCAATACATATGCATTCGTAATCCAAAAGTAGTACGACTACCTTGTTTTATGTACAACGCTTTATTCAGTTACTTTAATTTGTTTTACTTTACTTTTTTTTTTGCCCTCCACTTCCTCATCTCACTACTCGTCGTTCAGTCTTGTCGTAATATAGTACTTATGAAGCAGCACGGTGCACACGCTAGAGAAACTCCGTGTTAAACTTCGAAATCCCATTTGCTTTCCCTTTTTTTTTTCTCTCTTAATACAAACGTCAGATTTCGTTACCCTTGCGTTTTATCTTATTACATTTAGGTAAAACCGTCGAAACCGCCTTCGAAGCCTAATAACAGCCGCGGCGTAAAGCGCGAGAGCACGTTTCTTTAAAAATCATCAGTGCTCCTATAAGCAGTATAGTGTATATTCTCTTCCAAGACTATCGTTTACATTAAACAATATCCAAACGTTTATCGGAGGGGAGAAGGGGGAGACAAAATTTTTTTTTCCCAAAATTTTGCACATTACATTAGTTGAGCTGTTACTTTTGATGTTACGTTTTATTTTCCGTTTTATTCAACTCCGTTTTGCTCTGTAAACTAATACCTTTTTTTTTTTACACACCTAAAAGATTGCACTATTTATAGTGTCTAATTTAGCGTTCGGTGGTTTATGCCCACTTAAAGTGAAGCTCAAAACCCTTTTAACACCAACGAAGCTCGTGCTCCTTCATACTATTCTGATACACTCACACACGCATACCTATAGGGCTATATTTATATAAACACAACTGCTATTACTTCACAGTACAGTTTAATAAAAAGAATTCGAGAGTACGAATGTAACGGAAACACATATCGACGTATGCATTAAGTATGGATGTAGAGTAAAGGCGGTTTATCGTATCGCGGTAATTAAAGTCAGGTAAATGTTCCTTTAAAAGAAAGAAAAAAGGAGAACGGATAAAAAAAAATATATATATATCTCGCGTTATGACGCGTCCCGTTACAAGCTGCGAATCCAGCGCACGGACATCTAACATGGCTATACATTATCGATCAGAATTTTACTCATTCCAATTCCGTTTCAATGAATCAGGCTACGTTTTTTTTGGAAAAATCAAACGATCCGGGCTGCCAGTCAAAAGTGGAGCAGCGCAGATACGATGCAGATCTCTCTCTTTCTCTCTGTCGCGATTTAACCATGTCAAATTCGTACTTATTGGAGAGTATTTGCCCTTGTAGAACGCGAAGCACGTTGCTCCACGGAATCATCCACCCTGTATCGTTATTTTTTTTAACCGCCTTGCGATACGTATCTATTTTTTTTTCTTTTTCTAATATTGCCGCACGCGAGCGCGGATAACTTTACAAACGTATAAACTATATTATTTTTTCTTTCCTCTTAACATGTGTGTCACAGCCCTCGTGGCTATAGAACACAAAAAGTACAGCTACATAGATTCTCAATAAGACAATCGAAGCTCCGTTCGGACGGAGAATCGTATAAAAAAAAAAATCAGTTTAACGATTTAAAAAAGGGGGGGGAGGGGAAATAGAGAGAAGGAAACCTCACGGAACTCTCGGCTTACATGCTAAGGTAACCGCGGGCCTGACTTCGTCTGCGGCCGATGAGGTATGCGATCAATACGATTACCACCAAGGCCGCCAGCGCACAGCCCACAGTTATGGGAACGATGTCGGGCGTGTCGAACGAGCAGTCTTTGGCTAGAGAAACAACAAAGAGAAAAACAGGAAATGAGTTTCGTAGGCACACAAAATATCGACGTAGAGAACAATCTTGTTACGAGCGATAAGATAACGAAAAAAAAAGTGTCGGGCACCCACCTAGGCCAAAAACGGTAGTGTTATCACCCCGGAAAGCTTGGAACTGCAAATTGGTCACTTTCAGAAGCCCCACAGTCACGTTGCTACTCTCGCGGGTCAAGTCCAGCTGCTGTTCCTTGATACATCTGTACGAGTTGCTCAATCCAGTCTTGAATTGCGGTGCCACATGTACCAGAGTCACCGTCTTATCTGAGGAGAAGGAAAAAGTTCGTCGTAGAGAAAAAATATGCAGGCTCAAAGTGCAATGCGCTTGAAATCGCGCGGATAGATAAAACGCGCACTTGATTCGGCATTCGGGAATTCGTCGGCCGCCAAGGAGATCTCGAGGTGATGAAGAGAATAATGCTTTTCAGTCTCGTTCTTTACGAAATGAATCGTGAAGTTGTTCATGGCCGTCTTGTTCTGCGATTCCCACGTCAGCGTCAGGTTCTGCTCGATTTTACCGCAATTCCCTGCACTTTTCGCGGTAGTGTTGTTGGGCACGTCCAGCGCCTTGTGAAGGGTCTGCGAAAACGGAATTGAAACAGTAACACATCGATCGCCACTGTATTTCTATATGCACGAACGACGAAAACAAGTTTGGGGGCTTTACGCAATACGAATTTTTCAAATACTCGTGTCAAAAATTCTAACAACGACTCTTGTACGACATTCACATGGTACAATCGTGAACTTGGTTTCTGCTTACCATGTTATTAGCGCTGATGTAAGAAACATTGAGTTGCACAGCCATTTGAACGATAATGCAAAGCGTGTTGTTCTCCTTGACCATCCACTTCTCGGTGCTCGGCGGAGGAAGCGGGGTCGGCGGCGCCGGCGTTGTGGGAACAGCGGTCGTGGTGGTAGGCTTGGCTGTGGTGGTAGTAGTCGACTTGGTTGTGGTCGTAGTCGGCACGGTTGTGGTTGGCTTCGAAGTTGTAGTTGTAGTTGTAGTTGTAGTTGTAGTTGTAGTCGTAGTCGTAGTCCTTGCCGGTGGAATGCCTTCTGACGTTTCCGAGGTATCGTTTGTCGTATGCTCGTCCTTAGCCGGGGATACAGTTGCCGACTTATCGATTTCTACGCTCGGTTCAGGCGGAACAAACAACGTTGTCTGAGAACTTGGATTGCTGCTCGCCGAATTGGCAGGAACATTTGTGTCATTGTTGATGCCACCTAACTGGCCGCCAGCTGTTAAAATTACACAGTGATTATATATTCATTCGGGGCGATTCACCTGCGGCCATCAAGACCTCTCGCCTCTCGTCAACGAGGGGGCTTTTAGGCAAGGAGCTTAAGGAAAAAGTGGATCTCCGTCTAAAAATAGACCCCGAAGTCATACGTTGCAGTTCAAAAGGCATATCTTTGGTAAGCTCGAAAATACGGCCCGAGATAGACACGTCGTTGAACATTCATCTACGGTATAGAACGTTATAATTAAATACCTCGTGTTTGCTAACTCCTTGAATGATTCATGCCGCCTGTCATTTCGGACGCAAATTGTATGAGAAATAAAGAGAGCCGCCAAACAAAGAGGGGGGCAAAGTTCAACGAAAGAAAAACAATGATAAAATCTTACAACACTTACTGCGGCAACATTGTACAACATATTTCCGGAATCAATTTTGAATTCACGCGGCGATGGATTTAGAAGATAGCGGCGCGTCGTAGTGACCGATTAAGTCCGCGACACGGATTTTTTTCTCCCCCCTATCCCTCCCCTCTCCCCCCTAGACACGCGATAATCCTTATCGCGTAACATAACACACACGATCTCTGGCATCCTCCTACTCGGGCGCGCGCGTGCAGCGGAGTAACCGCTTTTGTTTTAAAAACGTTACGATCGTCGGGGCGGCGCAGCGCGGGGCGAGGCGTGAGTGCGGCTGCACTCGAGTCATCGTCGCGGAAAAACAAAATCCTCGTTCCGAGGAGGATCGGAAGGTGCCCCGTCCCGTCCGCCTCATCATGGCGCTTCCGGCGAATTCGGAATGCGCAATTAATCCCCGAAGCGGCCGCGAGCGTGACTCCTGGGTCGCGGGATCCCCCTTGTCGTTCGTCTCTCTCGTCCCCCCCCCTCTCTCTCTCTCTCTCTCTTTCTCTCGTCGCGGCAGAGATCGCGAGAGATCAACGACGACGATGACGGCGACGACGGACGGTGACGAGACGTCGCCGACATCGCCGTGCGAACGGTAATGTGTATACGTTCCTGGCGCGGCCAGCTGTGTGCGCGTCGCCGCGCGGCGGCCACCGGGGACGGCGAACCAGGTCGCGAGTACTCTGTTTTTACCTGACACAATCGTCGCGGCCCAACACAAAAGCAGCAGAGGTCTCAGCATCGTCGAACGTTCGTCGGGTGAGTCGTGTCGCGACAATTACGATGCCGTTGGTGTGATCCGATCGGCGCGGTCCAGGAAAATGAGGAGAACCCGAGAACCATGGAGCGGAGTAGCGGACGGCCACTGGGGTGCCTGCTGCCATCTGTCCCGACCGCCGATATACATACGCGGCGTTAGGTGGGAACAACGGCCGGCAGTGGCGGCACGTTCGAATCTAAATTTTAAGATGATTTAATCGCGAAACAATCGACGAACTACTTGCAGCTCGCCCCTGGCGAAAATTTTTCTTAGAAATTATAATTTATACTTTTTTTTTTTTAGAATTTTTACATAAAACGAGCGAGCTAGGAGTTAACTTGAAAGATTCGAATTCTTTCGAAACTCCGAATCTTCGAAGTTCAAAAAGTAACTGGCCTGCTTATAGCAACAGGAATTTTATATTTAGAATTATTAAACAAATTGCTAAAATATACCTCTGAAATTTTAGAATTCTTCAGAATTGCTGTATAATTCGCGAGAACAGAAGTCTTCAAATTACTTTATGAGATTAGAAAACTCATAAAAATCAAGTGTATTTTTGTCAAATTAATTTAAATCAAAATTTTTTAATCTCACGAGAATTTTATATTCAAAATTATTAAACAAATTGTTAAAATATACCTCTGAAATTTTAGAATTCTTCAGAATTGCTATATAATTCGCGAGAACTTGTAAATATCAAGTGAGAACAGAAGTCTTCAAATTACTTTATGAGATTAGAAAACTCATAAAAATCAAGTGCATTTTTGTCAAATTAATTTAAATCAAAGTTTTTAAATCTCACGAAAATATTTGACAAGATGCCAAAGAGCTGTATGAAGTTAGTTGATTTGCAGTAAAAATATCAGTTGTGTTTTTCACAAGTTACAAAATTGCAAAATTGAGAATGTAATAAGAATGTTTCAATGTGTTAATTGAAAAAAGGAAGACACTCGTAAATTAATATCGTAACAAAATCAATGAAATTGATATTTTTATGCAATTACAGCTTATCTATCACATGCCTCCAACGAGAAATAACTTTCGTTCCTTGTTAAAAATTATTAACAAGCTTCTTTTTTACTGTGTTCCAACACGAATTCATAACAGATCTCTTTCAATGATCGATTATAACATATGTTTCAATATATACAACTTATTTTCATAATATTCACGCGCAAATGCAGATTTCGTTAAACAATATATTATTTACAGTCACTTTACAACAGAGTCAGAGGGTTCAGGGCACGAAAATGTAGTGGGAGACATCGTTCGTGTCCTCCATGACTTTGGATTGTAACAGCTTGATCTCCAGCCTCAGCTTCTCCCTCTCCATCTCCTGCTTCTTTATCTCGTTCGAGTAGCAATTGATCTGCAGCTTCAGCTTGTCCTTCTTCAGCTTCAGCATCTCCGTCTCGTGGTACAGCTTGCCCTTCTCGGCGCGCAACACCGCCAGTTGCTCCTGAAGCAGCTGATGGCTCGTATCGTCGGACAGCAGGGCCTCGGACGCCTCCGCGTCCGGCTTCATCGCCGAGGTCGGCTTGATCACGTTCGTCTCGCTCTCGGGCCCGCTTTCCGGTTCCGTTTCCATCGAGTTGCACTCCTTCATAATCCAAATCCTCGAGTCTGTCTCTTGGAAGCTGCCAGGTGACTTCGGTGATTGTTGAAGCGTTAGGGAGTCGGCTTGCGATTTGTCATTGGGCGAGGCGGACGTTTCCTTCGCGATCTTCTCGATGACGGTGGTGGAGGTGATTGTTTCTATATCTAGAACTAATGCATATAAAGTATACTCCTTTGACTCATTTCGATTGTGCGACAAATATACTGTTGATAGGCTTGCCACAAAAAATAAATTTTGAAATTCCCTGACTTTTTCATGATTTCCAGACAACAGTGAAAAATTTTCCATGATCAATATCAAATATATAATTCTAAATTTTAATTTTAAAAGATATACATATTACAAAAAAGGTAACTTATATTATTAGAAACAACATAAATTTAGAAGTTTAATAACATAATATAATCCCAAATGCAAATTCAGGCCAACAAATTTTTAACATCGCTTTGACATTGTTGCTTTGACATTGATGTTGTGCATTAAACTACAGAAAAAAATTCCTTTGGTATAACTGAATTTTCCGTTGCTTGGAGACCAGACAAAAACTCAGTGGTAAAAGCAAAAAGATTCTTATATAGACATTTTTTTTAATATCGCTAAATATTCAGAATATTTGCGATTGCGATAACAGAGAGAAGTCTCGAACAAAATCGTAAATTCCGAAAATTTTTTCGATTTTCATACAAAACCATTTCATTCTGTTATTGTCTATTGTTTAATTCTAAAAAAAAGATTTTCGAATCAAAAAAGCAATACATACAAAAACATTGTACAAAAATTGAGTTTCGATAAAACAAATGATCCTTTTAAAAAAATTGTGAGCAAAGTTCAAAATTCCAGGCTTTACTATATCTTTCCTCGACTCTTCCAGGTTCTCCCGGTTTTCCAGGTCTGTGGCAACCCTGTGTTGAATTAGTACAAAAATTAAGTTACCACGCGGCTTCGGCGACTGGCTGTCGTCCACCGTGTGCGACAGGTGATTGTCGCAGTAGCTGTTGAACTCCCGCTCGTCGACGAAAACTGAACCGTCCGCGTTGACGATGGACTCGACTATCACCGACGGATCGCCGTTCTCCATCACCAGCTCACCCACTATCTCCTCGTCGGCCGCTATTATGTCGCCCTCGTTGTTCGATCTCAGCAATTCGCCCTCGTTCGCGTCGATCTCGTCGACCACCTCCTCCTGCGTCAGTTGACCGCCGTAAGAATCCTCGCCGTCGTTTCCCTCGCCCGCCTCCAACTCCGCCGTCGACAATCCCTGAGGCGAGAGGATTCTTTCAAATTTACAATACCAGCGACGAACGGAAAGAAAAATGAATATAAGCGCGTGTCCTCACGTCCTGATTCCAAGCGGATTCATGCTCCTTCTTTATCCTTTTTATGGTCCGCGCTATCTCGTCCTCGGATTCGGAATACATCTTTCTACCACATCTGGCCTGCATCTTCTCGATATTGCGAATCTTCTCGAGTAACTGATACGCTCGTTCCGGCGGGATGTCCTTCTTCTGTCTATTAGCCGCCGCTATGTTAAACAGATCTTTGGATCGCAGTACCTTATTGGTGCGCAATCGCACGTACTCCTTCAGTCTCTTACGATCGATGTGCAACTGCATTAGATCCTGCACCTCTTGCTTAATCTCACCGCAAAGCTTCCTCTCCTGAGGGAGCCTCTTAAACAAATCCTATTTCACGAGACACTATTTTTAAAATCTAATACATTGAAGCATGAAAAATTGCGAGACAGGACAAGAGTGAAACTTTTTACTTAAAAGTAAGACGGAAAGCTCTTTCTATGTTCTCAATGTATTTTTGCATGTAATCTCTCTTTCGATTCTGTTACTAGTTTTATTGATTAGGATTATTGATTTGCTTCGAAGATTTCGACATTCGAGACTTTGAAAGCACCTTAAACTTTGAACGCTCGGAGTTAACTTCAAAGAATCGAATTGTTGCGAAGCTCCGAATCTTTGAAGTTATCAAAAGTAATAACCCTACTAATGACTAAGGAATTTTATGTTTAAAATTATTAAACAAATTGCTGAAATATACCTCTGAAATTTCGTGATTGTGTTCGTTATTAACGCTGGTCACTTCTAGCTTTGTGCCATCTTTAGACGCCCTGACCATAATGTGAGCTGGACAATTTGTTCGTATGGACCTGTGGAACACCAAGCGATAATGTAGAAATAAGATAAATCGTGTCGAAGCTAGGCATACTGATATCAATGTGTCATCAATATGCATCATTCGAGGGAAACGATTGGACTCACTGAGATTGTCTCCTGCCAGCCCCGCGTGGGAGGAACTTCTGACCGCCGTAGATACAGGCATACTTGACGGAATAGTACTTGAGTCGCTCGCTAATCGGCCGCGCGGTTTTCATATGAGCCCCGCTGACGGTTCTGCTGTCCCGTCGCCAGTAATGCACCAGGGTGTGCCTCGACACTCTGTCCAGCTTCTGCTCCAGCTCCTCGTAGCTGTCAAACATCTCCCCCGGGCGGAAGGACACGTCGTCGTTGTCGCCAACGTTGACGTCCATCGTGAGAGCGGCAGCTGACGAACGATCTGTGCAACGATTCGAGAAAAATTAGGAATCAACGTTATTGATTTTCATCGGGGAATCCCGCGATTTTTCTTCCGCCGACGCGAGTGGAACTTTTACCGCCGTCATCGTGCCGATGGGCGCGCGATCCGTCGAGATGGAGCACGACGCGGATCTCTCTACAAAGGATCTATAAGTTCGAAGGTCGCGAAAATCAACGCCGAGGTCGGAATGGAGATCGGCGAGCTGGCGAGAGGCGCGACCGCCACAGCAGTGCCGTCGCCGTCGTCGTTGTCGTCGTCCTCGCCGTCGCTCGGCGACGATCGAGGCGCGACTCGGCGACGGTCGAGAGCGGTGCGGGAGTCGGCATCGTTCACCGGGAGGTCGGGGCCGAGGCGGGCCGATGAGGTTATATTATGCCCGCGCGCCTGTGTGTGTGTTTTGACCCGATTGGCGTGGCAGAAGCCACGCCGTCGGGAAACCGTGAACACAGACAGACCGAAATCTCTCGCGGCGGGGAAACCGGGCGAGCAGCAGGCGCGACCGGACCTTTCCGGCGGGACTCGCGACGCGGCTGTATACGTGCCCCGGCAAATTATGATTATGACACGATCACGGTGCGACGGACGGCGATTTGTCGGAGGTATACGTACCGCGGCGATCACGTTGCCATATTTTTGGGACGGAGTCGATGGGATTTTTTTTTTTTTTTTTTTTCGAAGGACGAGACGCGGACACTCTTCGACTGTCTTCGAGATGTCGGGAATACCTCTTAATTGGAGTAACGCGGCGTATTTGAACTCTCTCTCTCTCTCCGCGTCGTCGAAGTTGATCGCGCGCGATCGGGGAAGAGCTTTCGGAACGCGCGATGGCGATCGACGAAATTGCCGTTATGTCCCGTCGCGATAATATCTTGCGGATCACGACGCTCGGTATGACGAGATGCGATCGAGGTGTATATTTGCGAAATGTGTTTGCGGAGAAAGAAAATGTTGTATCATTTGCCGCACGATATCTTGCGGATTGATTGCGGCGCGATATTGACGCTGAGACGAGGTGCAATAAGTATATATTTACAAAATCCTGGCGAGGTTAATGCGGGCAATGTATGTTGCGAGCCGCGACCGAGATCAGCCTGTATAGCCAATAAAATTGCCGCTTTTCTTGCAAAAGCTGCAAGTTGATTGGCTCACACGGTTTCTCTTGGCGCCTGAAAAACTCGGACCGATTTCTCGCGTGGACCTTTTAATTTGCGTAAAGTTAGCTACGTTTCGGACAAATGTATTTAGATTGATTCATACATTGCGGAGCAATGTAATTGTAATGTAATCATACATTATGTTAGGCTTCTTCTTAAGCTCCCACCAGGTCACCGTGGAACGATACAGCCGGTGTCCACTGTGTTGGGCAATGTTATTGGACTCGACAGTCACGATGTATGTATAAGCATCTAGATGCAGCGCGCCTGAAACGCAGCTAACTTCAGAATACCGATATATATAACTTTCTCTATATATGGGATAAAAAGTAAAAAAATTCGATCGAGTGTTCCATTAACTTCAATGGAGAAAATTTTCAAGAAAAGAGTGTAAAAAAATTTTTTCACGTTTTCACCCTAAGGGAAGGGTCGCACAATTGGTACCCGGACGAAAAAAGCATTATTGCCCATTTATTATAGTACTTGAGAAAAAAGAAAGAAACGTACATCGCACAGCTTCTCTGCCAAAGAGTGCCAAGTACCAATTAACTATAGCTTTACGCTATCTCTTCATGCTCGCTTCGTCTAGGTATATATGTCGTTGGAGCCAACGGAGAGTGGTGGTCGATAACGTCGCATCGCCGCACGCGCCCTGCACAAACACACAACAGCGTCCAGCCTATGATATCGACGGCGGCATCAGCACTTGGCAGCAGCAGCAGCAGCCAGCAACAGTAGCAGCAAAATTTCTCGGGGCTCGGGAAGACTCGCCCGCTTCGCGCACGGCTCGACTACCTCATCGGCCTCGACTCAGCTTCGCGGCCTCGGTTCCACGAAAGTTCCCCCCGGTTCTCCCTCGCTCCCCGTCGCCGTGCCCGTTTCTCCGGCTTGGCGTTCGCTTCCAGTTTCCCAGGGTAGGCCGCGTTGTTGAATCACCTCTGGGCAAGGGCTGGTCGACCACCCGGACCAACGCGCGCGCGTGTTGGCTTCCTCGTCGGTGAGGGTAGGTGCACCCTCGATGCTCGCGTCGGGCGCCACGAAGGCCGGCGGAGCGACGACGACGACGACGACGACCACGACGACGACGACGACGACGACGTACGCGCCCGGGATCGCGACACCACCCGTGCGAGGGACGACGTTGTGGAGACTCGCGCGACGGATCCGGGGACGACGTTGCGGCCCGACGACGACGACGACGACCGCGGCCGGGGCGACGACGGCGGCGACAACGACGACGTTCTCGTGTAATCCAGTGCGCCACAGGTTCTCCTATGTGCCATCTCGGCCGCGCGGACGTCGCACGATCACGCTTTAGGACACCTGGGACCGCCGCGCGCCGCCCCGACAATCATGGACGTTGACTGCCCGATCGTTAGCCTGAAGCGATCCAGCAGCGCGCCGATGATTAACGAGATCAGCGCGACCATGTCCGTCACCACGCCGTCGACGTCGTCGTCGAGGTACGTTCGCAACAGCTTTCCCCCTTTCGCCCGCAGGTGCAAACGTCGCAGGTATGACTCGCACGCGTTGACCCGAGTTGCTCCAGGAGCAACAATGTAAAAGTCATGTATGGTATGCATTATCTAGCGGCAAGGTCTGGCCGCAGCCGTCTAAGTCTTAGCCATGATCTTTATCGCCGACGTGCAGTAGTTACCTGCAGTTCCCTAGGAGCGGATTTAAAAAAGTACTCAGTCGCTCCGGGACTGCTAGCAAAGTAGCGGCATTTGCATGAAGCGCTGAATGTGCCGAAAGGTCAATCCTTCTTTACATGTTTTGTCTGTGTAGTTATCGTGTAGAGAGACTGCATGCATTATAATATGTACAGGGTGTCCCAGACCTACCGCACCACCTGTTAATGACGAATTCTTAATGTCGTTTGGAGAAATTCTAACGTCAAGATATTGAGAACTATAAATGTTTGTTGAGAATTATAATAGTAGCGTGAACAGCAAATTAATTATAAATAAGAAAGGAAATAAATAAGAAATACAAAGTCCAGCTTCTGTTTCAAGAAATGCAAGCAAAATTAATATTTAAGCATTGATATCTAGCCACGCACTGTGCAACTTCACTGTGCAACGCGCAAATTTTGAACAATCCGATTGATCATCTTTTTTAAAAGCTTTCCACTTGAAAACTATTGTAATCCAAACATTTTGGTATTAGAATTTTCTTCAAACAACTTCAAAAATCTGCCATTAGCAGATGATGCGGTAGATCTGGGACATCCTGTACAAATATACATTTTTATTTTTTATGTATACATATAAATTTACATTTTTATTGCCACATTCCGCTGGAAGCTTTAGTTGAACTTAATAAAAATTAGAAGCTAGGTATTCTATTTAAAAATGTACAAGTAATGTTCTTAATCTTTTTAAGGATTTACAAGTTACAGGGATAATTTCGAGGACTTTTATAAATAAAAGCATAAAGGAAATCACATTACTGAAATATATAAGTCAATTGTTTGAGAATAATTTATAATTGTTTTAAATTATAAGTAATGTTGCAAGATAAGTTCTTATTAAACTTTATAAGTAGCTTTAGTTAGTAGCTTTAACTTTTATGCTGTAGATATATGATTTATATAATGTTTATTATAAATTAATAAAGATTTAAATTCTGAGTACTCTTTCCAAGTCAAACACTAGCAGAATCATTGATAATAATTTGTTAAAAATATTTTCTAATAATGTAATGCAACCGCGCAAACTTAACTGTCTCTAAATATTTCTTACTTTGTTATTTTCAGGGACGCTGTATCGACCTATAATATATTTTCTAATTCAACTCGTCTACGACGCTTTAGTACCAGTGTAAGATCATGTTACCCATTTACTCTCTTTCTTTTTTTTATTTATTTCTTACTTTTATTATTTATTTCTCGGTTCAACAATATTATATATAATTAAATATAATTAATAATATAATTAAATGTATCTAAACTTCTTTTGTTACTTTCAACAACAAAGTCCAAAATTTATTTCGTTTTATAAGACAACAAATAAGAAGTTGAATCTATCTTACATATGTACAATTGATTCGAGAAAAAAATGTGACACATTTTGTTTCGCGATGTTATAATTCTCTGATATTCGGATGATTCGACTATTTTTATCCCTATGCTGTCTTTTTTTTTTTGCTTTTAGAGCCCTGGTAATGTTCCTAGATTGACACCACGCGTGAGTCAGTTAAGACAGGAGGAATGCGTGGACGTCGCTGGCCGGGAGGCAGCACACGAGAGGGAAATTCACAGTGCCATGCAGATATCGCAATCATGGGAGGACCTTACGTTGGAGGCGGAAGGATTGTCGTTCAAAGACTCGGAGTCACCCACGCAGCAGCTTAACAAAATGGAACGGCCGAAGAGGCCGTTGGATCCTCTAAGTCTGAATCTGTCTATCACCGGCTCGCCGCTGTGTTCTTCACCTTCCCCCACAAGATCTGGATTTAATCAAAGACAATGTTACTCTCCTGGCATTCACATCTGGAAGAACAATTTGTCTCCTAGTCCGACGAGAAAGGCGTTTGCCACGAGGTAGAAACTCGTTTAGAGCACAATAAATTTATCCTTTCTGAAAAAGTATTGAGCTAAAAAATTTTATATATGTGCACGTTTAAAGAGAAAGAAGGATTAGTTATTGTGATTTTTTTATACTGTGTTTTTTTCTCATGTTTATTCTCTGCTAATATTTCATGAAATATACAGACGCAGTTTGAGTCCTATCGCGATAAGGCCAAGCTGTTTGGGGCCAGTCAAAAGAAAATTCGAGCTGGACGAGGCCGGAATGGATCACAATTTGCAACCACCTGCAAAACGCACCTCTGGTTTATTGACGTCGGTTGCATCCAGGTTGCGTATATTTTTCCAACAATTTTTTTTATTCAAACGTCAGATCAAATTATCGAAATAATAAAAGTGCAATAATTTTTTAAGTACAAAAGAAATAATTGCGTATTTATATGTGTATTTTTCTAAAACTTCTTTAATTGTTCTTCGCAGATTGGACGCGCTGTCCAGCCCGCTCCCGGGAACCATCAGTTCTGTAGGCACGCCCGAATCGTTATCGAGCGCGGATTCGCCTAGTTTCTCCTTCCGGCCGGTGGACAGCCCGTCGCCGGTGCGCGTGGGTCCGAGCAGCGACAGCGATTCTCTGTCGGACGCGAGCAATCAAAGCAAATCGATGGATCAAGTGCGCGCCGACCAGATCAGTCAGGACGGTCACAGATGAACGTGAGAGATTGTCGAGCATGCGAGGGCTTGGAGATGCGACGTGTCACATTGATCCCTCCCGGCGTGTGTATCGACGTAAGGGAGAAGATACTTAGTGTCTCACGCCGGAAAAACGAAAAGTCACGAGGCATATCCTTCTTGTCGTTCCGTTAAACAAAGAGGAAACAGTCGTGCGACACGTAAATCAAACGACACGGTCCGAATCTCGGTGCCTCGGCGCTGAAAGAGTGAAGCGCGAGACGGACCGGGTCTTATTTCACTTGGAACTTTTAGTGCAAGTACGACTAATTAACGTTTAGAAGAGAGGCATCTCTAATAATTTCGAATGTACGAGTAAGCGTAGCGCCAACAGTGTTCTCTCCCCTTAAATGCTAATCACACATATCGGCGAAAAGACGCTCCGCATGCCTCCGTGCGATCGTTCCGTTTATTCCGGAGTATTTGCGCTTCTCCGACTGGAATGATTTATTTTCTTTTCCTCTTTTTTTTCTTTCTTCTTTTTAAGTAGCTATATATAATGATTCCGTATGTATTGATTAATGTGTACACGATAACGGCCCTCCCCTTTCTCCCCCCCCCCTCGCTATTTGTACTATTCATCCTATTCAGCGGACTCTTGGCTCTTGTTATCTATTTTTAATGTTTGATAAGTTTTGTTTTGGGCATTGGGTAATCCTCTATCCAGTGACTTTCTAACGTGCGTAATTTATAATCGAGAACTATTTGTTATGTAGACGATCAAGGTTGCGTTTAATCGCGTCGGTTTCGTAATGCTGTACAGACATTTAATCATCCCCTCGAGGCCTTTAATTTCTTTCTTATTATTATTATATTATTTGGACCGATATACCGACTTGGGACTTGAGTTTTCATCTTAACGAGAATTTCGCGTTGACGCCAATCTAAATCCCCGGGCTCGTATTCTTGGCTCGTAACTGTCAGCGTTTAATGCTGAGTAGAAGATTCTGAAGTTTTTCCTTAGAAAAATATGTTGAAGAGATAATGATTGCATAACACGAGGGTAATATATAGAGATAAAACGTGTTGCTGAGTCATATTTCTAAGGAAACCGGGGCGGGGGGGGGGAGGGGGGGAGTGAGAATATGCCGCATATCCTCACACTCAAAGATCAAAAGCTGGTGTTCTCAGGTCGGCTCTTTTGAGACCGTCTTAAGTAATGTCTTAAGATGATCTAATACGGCTCTGTGATTGGCTCGTCACATCTTAAGATGTTCTCAAGTGTGACAACCGAATGTGAATATCGGCCGAAGATCTCTCTAATCTTCACTCGCGAGGGAAAATCCGCAAGTATTGCCTATTTTTCCTAGCTTCCGAGACTGTCGGCTCGCCAGAAAAAAAAAAAAAAGAAAAAAAAACCACCATATTTGTGGCCGGGTGAAACTCGAGTATCGGCGTGTATCGAGCATTAAGTAATATATGTACATATACGCAAAAATGCTGCTGTAACTCATGAGATAACGAGATCTTGTCCTACGTATAAATGATAATAATAATAATAATAATAATAATATATAGTCTGTCCTAGATTTCTCTGGATAATATCGTACAAACAAAAAAATGGCTCTGTTTCTCTCTCTGACGCTTTGTTTACGAATAATGACGTAGACACGTAGACACTCCGCCAGGATCTTCCCTTTACTTAAACCAAAGCATTAAGTATTAAGTATTTTCCAAGCTCACACTATACACATTTTAATACTCCCACTGTCCTTTCTTCTCCCTTCGTTCTTCGTCGGCTTGTGCCGAAATCGATCGAGCTCGTCCCTTCGTTTCTGACTTACACTTTAAACATTACACGGCTGTTATTACGTGTAATGATTCTTAGGGACAAATGGAGCGTTGCAAGAATTTAGATTTCACGTGATCGAGCGTTGCTTTTGGAGAATATATGTTTTGTATAAATATATATATATATATATAAATAGGAACACGGATTGTGTTTGCATATATCTGTACGAAGTATCAGATTTCAGAGAAGAGAGAAAGAGAGAGAGAGAATAACTCGATTGACGATGCTACGAGAATCTGACTGTGCCAGAAAATATTATTAGTAATATGCGCAGAATGGATTATTTAGATCTTGTATGCGTTTTAGCATGTATAATATCTTTCGAACTTCCGCTCGCCTGTTAAATAAACTGATGATAGATTATGTCATATTTCATTTTACGCGACGTTATGTGCCGTTGAAGATCTTTATTAACGTCCGCACGCGCGTGTGACGTTAATAAAAATCATCGATACACAAATCGTTCCAGTCGACACTTTCGAGGATCTTATCAATGCCCGCTTCGAAACCGAGGCAGCCCCCTTTTCCCCCCTCCGCGTGTAAGCCGCGGACATCATGAAGAGTAGATCTATTGCGTAAGCTGTGTATTTTTAATAGGAAATCGACGATTCGTGAAAATATGTGAATGTGAAGTGTACACATCTCCAGCTTGTATATGCCGATCAATTCTCCATAGATTTTAGCGTAATCGGATGTAGCGTGTAGCAGATCTCTCGAGTGTTTTTCAGCGAGAAACACAGAGTGATTCCAGCAGGTGAACTGATTCCTGTGTCGATTTGCGTCTCTTGCTGGAAACCGCTTCCCCTAGTTTAACAATTGTCAAACAAACGTAAAATCATGAAACGATTCGTGACTGTGTTTACATCGATGCTGTTCGTTCGGTGACACAAATCGACACAATAAGTATTTACGTGACTCATTAAATGTCAAGAAAAGATAGAATGACGTTTGTGTCGACTTGTGTCACTAAATGGGAAGCGCCCATTGCCGCGCGTCAATTGTGTTTCTCGCTGGAAAACACTCTTTAGCAAAGAAAGTGGATCTTTCCGAAAAGGTGGAAACGCCCCAGGTAGCACCTTGAAAACGTTTCCGAGTGGTTAAAATGTCCACTCGAAAAACGTTTAAACAAACGTTTTTTTTTTTGATAAAAAAAAAGAAATTAATCCAAATATTTTTTCTCTATCTGTGAAAAAGTTTGCTTGAGAAGAACGAATGCGCAAACTTTTTTACAGATAGAGAAAAAATGATATTTTGATTTTTTTTTTACCAAAAAGAAACGTTTCTTTAAACGTTTTTCGAGTGGACATTTTAACCACTCGGAAACGTTTTCAAGAGTCGGTTATGAAACGTTTCTGAAACGAATACGTGCTAACCTGGGAGTTTTTTTACGATGCGTCTAAATATGTATTGTGATCGAAGACGGATAGTTGATCCGGCTCTATCGAGAGTTTTTGACGGAAACAAAGCTTTCTAGCGAAGCACCTTTGTATAATAATAATTTTAAATAAATGTTTTTGTAACAATTGTCATTTGGATTTATATTAAATTTATGGA